GTATACATCGGTATACACTAAGTATACCAATAACTATCGAGTACATGCGAGTCACCAGTGAGAGGTGATAGATGAGGACAAAAGCTTGGCCCAGTTTGACAAATTCAACAAAATATTACTACAATGGTTTCCAGAAAGAACCACGAGAGGTCGATCTAACGGGGTATAATAATTCTCTTCCCCCCTGAATAAGGGCGACAGATTATACCTATTAGATACACAGCATTCATTTTGAAGCCACTTTTTCAAATATGTATGAGTATGCACTAGCCATAGTGAGTATATTACATAAATAATGCATGATGCGTATATATTACCAGCGTATATAAATTACCTAAAAATTGTGACTTTTTACAAAAGTTATCTAAAACATATTTTTCAACAGTAAATTACACAAGTAATTTAGGTTTCTAGTAAATAATAGCATACCCCAGAAGATGTCATGTCTAAGTATATTTACCGAAGTCTGCATACATAAATTTCATGCCGATCGCTTGAACCTAGTTGTACAGTAAAAAATCAAGTTAATGTGCTAAAGCTTTATCTGATTGCAAGTTACAAGAAAATGGATAATATTATCTTGCTCAAATACCTTTGCATACCAATTTTCATAGCAGGGAACCAAAGTAAACGGTATAGAATAATGATGTTCTGAAGCACTATCAAGAGGCAAATTACCAAAAAGTAAATAATAACATTATTCCTTTTGAAAAAATACATTAATGTCAGTCTATTAATTACAAATTATTCGTTCACGCTAATGTCCAACACAGACGGTCAACAGAGTTTAATATAATTCTGCAAACGTGTATTATTTGTTCCAATTTGATATTTAGGATAGTTATTATCCCCATAAGAAAAAACCAGTTCAAGTTTGAGTTAAACTCACTCACCGAGAATACAGTACATAAAACGTATCTAAAAAAGTATTTGTTTTCTTTAGATAAAAAAAATAATTGGATATTGTATATACCTACATTCGACTTGGACTGTATTAAAAAGTCGCAATTAACATAACAAATCTGCAAAAAGCAATGGTAGTAACATGAGAAAAGTTTTAAAATAATAGTGATAGGATATTAACATTTTTGTATAAAAACATTACATTATAATTTAAACATTTAACAACCTCATCTACATATAGTACCTTTAAAAAACATCACCAAAAATCTAAATGCGGTTGCCAATCCGCTTACCAAGCTCGGCATCTATTGGCAAAACCCCCCAATAACAAACACCATAAAGATTTCATTCCTGACCAAGGTAACGGTCATGATAATGGTGGAGCAGAGGATGTTAAGAATTTCCAGCTAAAATTCGCCTACCAACAAAAACGACGACTTGGGAACATATAATGCACGAATTTTGAGGACTGTTAAGTGAAAGAAGAGGTGAACAAGTTACACTAGAATATTACAGGATTATCCGAAGTCCAAAGACAGGGGATGATACGATGATCCTTAAATTCGGTAACTTTTCATACCAACAGGAAGGCGACCGTACCCGTCCCATGGTGGTATCGGGTTCATTGTCAGCAAGCCCCTCGTTAATAATGTCTATATTAGAGATAAGTCCACCCTTGCTTACAACATTTATAAATACATTATTTTATATTTAACTTACAAGTGCAATAAAGAATATAGAATAAAGATCAAGAGTGTGTCGACAAGGGTACATACATGGTACTCAGAATTACGAATAGGTATTCGCTGAAGGTGGTGCAGGTATGCAGGTGTATACGCCGATCGTAACACACTCCGATGATGAGGTGGAGGCAATATACGAAGAGCATTTCAAGAGCCATATATTCCTCTAATACAAAGTGCTAGTCACCCGACACTATACCGATAATATCCCGGACGTCAGTTTGCAAGAGATTGAAATGGCTCTAAACAGTTTAAAAACGACAAGGCACCGAGAGATGACGGAAATACAGTAGAGCTTCTAAGAGCAGGTGGAAAACCGGTACTTATAATCATTTAGAAGCTATTTAATTTCATCATCCATAACCGTGTTATGTCCAAGGTGTGAAGCAGAAGTGCGGTAGTTCTATTCTTTAAAAAGAGTGACAAAACCCTATTGAAGAATTGTTCTTAGAAATTCTTTAAATAATGACTGGACACGATTCTTTACTAATTCTTATTAAAGAGTCGCGTCTTCGTACTGTTTTCGAGTGTCTGACCAATCGTCTTACGCGCAAACTCGACGACTTCCAGCCACCAGAACAAGCTGGCTTCCGAAAGGGCTTTAGCACCTACATAGATACATACATACACTACGGAAGATTATACAGAAGATCGAAGAGAATAATCTACCACTGTCTGATGTTTGTGGACTATGAGAAAACCTTTGATTAAAAAATATAAACATTTTTTCAATTATTTTTATTGCAAAATGTGTGGGCCATTAATATGTCATTCTATCTTAAATTTCACATCAACAGTATTAGTAATTGGTAAGTCATAATGCTGTGACAGACGGACGAATAGACAGATGGACAAAGTCACACCATAAGGGTTCCTTTCCAGCTTTTTGAAATGTAACTATAAAAACAGACTCAGCAGCTGGCAGTATTGGCAACACATGTTTTTACTTAATCTGCTAGTCTTTATTATTAGTAGAATAGATTGGAAGTGAAATTTAAATCAGTCATAAAAATTTTAACAAAACAAAAGACATTACTTTTCCAATACCTATACTAAAAATTTTAGTTAAATTGATTTCTGACCTTAGTTGGCAAGATTGAAAAATTACTGTGTATGTTATCATTCTTTCCAAATTCTCATTACTTATCTAATAAATAGCTGGATGAGAAATTTTAAACTTGCTTATGAAGTATATAATTAAAACTCTTGTCCTTTTTTGTAAAATAATGTTAAAACGATTTAACAACATAAATTTCATTAATTCATAATCATTTTTATAATTAATTCATGCACTTTACATAGAACAAGTGCTTCTGATGACCTTAACGGCTTAGCCAGTTATTATTAAATTTGTTATACACATATTAAATGAGAAGGATATAGGCACACAAACAAAATAACAGGTAAAAAGGTCCATTATAATCCAAGGATCATTTACATTTATATATCTATAAATACAGGTGAGAGATATCATAAATAACATATTTAAAGCAACATCCAAAAGAAATTGTACATTTTATATGATGTGATTATGTCAATAATTATAAACCAATTATTCTTGTAATTGATAGGGTTTACACTTTACTATTAGTATTATATTCATTTTGTAATTATTGAAACTGTCATTTTGTTTGCAAAGCAAAAAAACTATTTTTGCAAAACCAATCAACCTGTAAAAATATGCAAGATACAAATTTTACATCCAAATTTATTAAATTTAATGTGTTTATTAAATATCTTATTATTTATGAAGGTATGGTAATAATGGATGCGCTTTTATTTTTAAGATGCAAAATGAACTTATAAATGATACATATAAAAAAATGCCACATTGTCATGCAAATGCAGTCAACCAATTTTTATTTTATGCAACTTAGAATGGCGAACAAGCTAACAGCCCACCTGATGGAAAATGGTAATCATTGCCTATAGACATTAGCAGTACCATGGACATAACAGAGTATACTATTTTGTCCATGATGCATTACGATTTTTGAGGACTCAAGTTTTATTCCTCTGTACCCTGTAAATTCACTGCCATATTCCACCCTTCAAACTGAAACATAGCCATGCAAACACAACTGCTTCACAGTAAAAACACAAATGTGACAGAGGTGCCAAAACAAACTACTTTTGTGCAAAATCTCCCTCTGGCAATTTCAATATCTTATTTGTATTTAATTGCACCATAAATTACAGGTCCACCAAATACCTTCTGTAATAGAAGTGTAATTTCTATAACAGTTGCAACTATCTACCAATTATATATAATATTTTAATATTGATATTTTTATCCAATCATATATACATATGTAGTAGAAATAAAACACATTTTCTAGCTCTTTAAATTGTATAAAAATAATTGATGACTCAGGTTAATCTACTAATGAGTGCAATTCTTTTGATCACCTTCCCAAGTCTTGCAATAGTAATCTAAGCCATCTTCTTAAACTGACTAAATTGGCCAAGCTATGAGATTACAATAAAAAGGGTTACAGTTAAGAAAAAGGGGCTACCCGGCTGTTCACTCTGAAGAGCATAACTTTATAATACAGTTGTAAAATATCTGTTTTTACTTTGACTACAAATAATCAGGGAAATATCATATGCAAAAAAATTTTATTGACATCTACTGACAAATAAATATTGAAACATGTCTGGACATACGAGATCCGATTATGAGGTTCAGCTAAGAAATCAAATATTGCTATACTACAAAAACATTAGTGTGTTAAAGGTAATTGCAAATGTTGCATGGTTTACAAAAATAGAAGATGTGCAGGAGAAGGCAGCCCATTTCACAGATAAAATCAACAAAAAGATTAAAAGACATGAACTGGCAAAATGTTTGGCTAATAATCTTAAAACAAAAAGGCAAATAAAAAGAAATCACATATGGGATAATTTTGAAGTTTAAATGAATAGTACCTTATAATAAAAGCAGCCTAACATTGGAAGAATATATCTAAACATCACAATATACCACACAAAGCAACTGCTTATAGTCCTAGCAACTGATCGCTAGTTCAATAAATCCTACTATAAAAAAATTATAAAATTGATAGGAAAACAAAATGTAATATGAACAAGTAAGTATTTAAAGTTCTTTATTTAGATTATATTTATTAATTATTGAGTACACAAACACAGATTTACAAGACTTACAGCTGATAGCATTCTCCACCAAACAACCTTTAGGATGGAATGAAGAGCATGACTATTCTTATTATTTAGATAGATTTTATTATATTATTACAAAAGCCTGTTAAGTTCCATAGAATATTATTATAACATTAGTTATTAACATTTGATTTAATATACTTATTACAAAATCTAACATACAAAGTAACTTACCATAAATTTGCAATTAACTTTCTTGATATGTCTTGTACTATTTTTCATAAACTCATAGTTCATCACAATAACTTTTATTAAAAAACTATATCACTTGGTATCAACACACTGAAAAACTTTCATGTCCTACAAACATCAGGCTTTGATATAAGTCGTTTCAATTCTAAAAATACTTCACATGATAAAACAGTATGAATGTGTTAAACTCTAAGCAACACAATGATGACAATAAGGAAATGTGGATTGAAAATCCAGATTAACCACATTGCAGTGTGTCTACGAATGGCTCAATTGATAATAAACACAAAATAAGAGCTAAACAATCCCTATTAATTGTGTATATATAATATTTAGAACAGAACAATATAACAAAAGTAACAATAATCCAATACACATACTATATTCAACTGACAGGAACATATTAAAATTTAGTTGAGTAGACACTCTGCAATAGAAACTAGACTCTAGAAAGTCTACCTAGGTACGTAAAAACTGATTTTAACTACGCAATTACTTTATTCATATACACTAGAAACAGAAATAAATAGATGTCACTTGTAATAATGAATTTAGTATCTACGTCGAGAAAAACACATTTAACTTGTTGCTTTTTACAAATACAAATAAGATTTGTCTGTCCAATCCAATAAGATCACCATAGATGTATAAAAGACAGACGGACAGACTAGTTAGGGCTAATACATACCGCTTGCTCTTCTTGACATGAAATATTGACATCCAACTGACATACTAACTCCGCACACGGTCAAGATCTGTATTTCATTAGCTAATAATGATGTTTGCTTTAAATAAAAAATCAGCTGCTCCATCTTAAATTATTAATTTTTTTTTTTAAATAAAAATAAAAAGTGAAACTTGATGCTTATGTAGGAACGAATTGACCGACCTTTCTGCTTACACATGCCAGCTACTTTCCGCAAAGCACCAGAAAAGCTCCGCAACTTTTTCAAAATGCCTGGCATTACTGAAGAGTTTATTTAAATTACAGGCATATAATAATGAAGCAGACAAAGCATAAATTAAATATATGAGCAAGATATTTTTCTTTTGTTCACTCTTACAATGTAATGAATATTACTGTCTTTTTCTCTCACGTGTAACACTACTCCATTAATATATGTCAAACGCCAGTTCGTCATATATATAAATTGTATGGGTGTATGCTCAAATTATATTAAATATTGAAAACTATGATTTTCACCACTACAAGTGTAGAAAAAAATCGCTAAAATTTTAAAATGCAGTTTAGCAGTGAAGCAAAATATATATGATAATAAAGGTCTTGTTTGTTTTTGGCAGATGCACTTTGTGCCGTGCCATAAGAAAGGGAAAAAAAGTCTTGTTAAGTACATATTCAAAATTTATAAAAATTTGTGTTTACAGTTGAAAGAAAGGAAACTATCCGAGAATAGATGCAAATAAAAAGACTTGAAATATCAAATATCAATATATACTAAATATACAAAATGTATAAATATATTTTGGTTATTTAGAATGTTGTTTTAAAATTACAAGGTAAGGAATAAGGAAACAAAATATTATTATTAATACAAATTTTCAATACCATGAAACGGTTTATTATAATAAAAATTTACTTATGAGTATCCCAACAAAATGACAACCTTATTATCTCAAAAACTTAAATATAAATCAAATAAAAAAATGCCATAAATAATTCACAACCAGCGACTCTGCTTACTATAAACTCTATTTTACATTTGCTAGTATTAAAATAAAACAGTTAAAACGATAATTAAAAAACTAATCAATTAGGTTACGGTCCCATTAACTAAAATATAAAACAAATCTTTCGTTAATCTTCAAGTTTAAACAAAAAATTATATATAATTATTGGCACTAATTTTCAGTCTCGTTATACCTAATAGTATTAAAATAATATGAAGCGATAAATGAAAAAGCTAAACGACAACGTTAACGTATTGTCACAAAATATTCAAAAAATGCTAAAAAAAATGTTAATCGGAACATGTAATTTGACATAAAATTTATATATTTCTTTTATCACATAATTCGCGTTTCTATTATCAAACTATAGTATAATTATAACCCTATTCGTTTCTATTTTGAATATCAGGCGACCAATATAACGAGTAAAAGGAGAACTTTGTGTAGATTGGTGAGATATTTCTGACCAAGTTGTTTTATGTGACTTGTATGAAGTATATTTTCTTATTTCTTGATTCTATAATCTTTGGTTCTACCTAGGGATGTAGATTAATAGTAAAAAATCAATGAAATAAAAATAGATGTTTCATTATTCAATATTAGTCGTATTAACAAAAACGATTTAAAAATATTAATAATGGATTTCAGCAAAAAATCGATTTTATTTATTTAAAAATTTACACGCTTTTTATATTCCAATAATAAACCCAAGAAATTCATATTAACAATTTATCAAATTGAAAATTAAACCAAATGATTCGAATAAAAAATATAAATTAAAGCGAATGTTGCTTTAAAATTACAAGGTAAGGAAAAAGTAAACGAAATATTATGATTGATAAAAATTTTCAATACCATGAAACGGTTTATTATAATAAAAATTAAATGATGAGTATCCCAACAAAATGACAACTTTATTGTCTCAAAAACTAAAATATAAATCAAATAAAAAAAAATTGCCATAAACTTCCAACTCTATTTTATATTTGCTAGTTCTGAATAAAACAGTTAAAATGATAATTAAAAACTTATCAACTACGTTACGGTCTCATAAACTAAAATATAAAATAAATCTTCCGTTAATCTTCAAGTTTAAACAAAAAATATATATAATTTTTGACACTAATTTTGTCTCGTTTTATGTAAGAGTAATATTAAAATAATAAGAAACGATAAATGAAAAAGCTAAACGACAACGTTAACATATTGTCACAAAATGTTTAAAAATTGTATATTTGATTAAAATAATTATTACCATAAATTCTCAGGTATCTAAGCAGTTTAAAAACAATTATTTTAATAATCTCTTTTAAAATATGGTTTCGTGTTTTCCTGACTATATTTTCCGCTTTGGAAAATAATTTTTCGCGTGGAACAGAAGTGGTTATTACAGAGTAATGCTTTAGAGCCAATTCGGATAGCTTAGTGTTTATAAATAATGATTTAAACGCGTAATTTATGTAATCGGTTTATTAAAAGCCGATTAATATTATTATAATAGTAGATTATATAAATCGATTACATAAAAATAATCGATTAATTACAAATCGATATTATTTTACATCCCTGGTTCTACCTTTGTTTGTCATCTTGTCTATATTCACAGATTATAGAAATTATTTCTAAATATTTATTTCTTCATTTCTATTTCCAATAGAGACCTTTAGTTTTTTTTTGTGAACATTTAAAAATACGTTTTCATCATGGGCAAGGGATTCAATAATTATATGTGTAAGAAATTCTTTCATCCTGCATCAAGAGATAACTTGAAAAGGGTATGTAATCACAACTTATAAAAAAGATATTTTAGATAAAAATGCCACATGAAGGTTTTAAAGACTGAAGTAACTACAGGACTACGTAAAATATATGATGATAATGACTTATATAATATAAAATCTAATTTAAAGTATTTTTATCTCTAAACCCTAAAATTCTCTTGTTCCTTTATCATCGTCGTATCTGCTTTTAACTGTTCACTGCTGAACATAAGCTTCCCCTTGGGAGTTGTAATATAAATTGGACTCTCTTTTCCGCGCTTAGCCTCTCATATGGGCCGTTCTGTATGAGTCATAGTGAGTCGCCCAGCCCAACTCGACCCAGAAGCTTTTTGAGATCTTCACAAACTTTATGGAGCACACACATTTCAGGATTATGTGAGCAACCATTTCTTCGGCGTCAAAACAACCTCAACATAGGAGGCTGTCTGTGGCTCCTATTGTGTATAAATGTTTGTTTATTGGTCAATGGTCTGTTATCTCCCTATCTTATTATGTTTTTTTCTATCTGGATGTAATAAATGTTTTGATAGTTATTGATTCATCATTGGCACTACCAATTTTGATTATCTGCTATCAGTAGCCTGTATCCATCTTTAGCATAATTTTAATCCTTGAGGGGTCTTGCTAGTAGTTGCCATGCTTGCAAGGTGGATTGACAGTCAAAGTCAGGCTTCAGATGCTGCTGCCTATCCCTCATCCTCTCTTAGTTGTCTCTTATGACAGCCAAGAGAAAGGAAAGGGTGGCCTGTGGTGGTGTCGGGACCACAAGGCATTTCTGTACAAAGAGGTTTAAAGACACAACTCTCATCTAAACATGCATATTCATGCTATGTTAGGTTTTCTACTTTTGCATTAGTAGTAGACAACTGTCTGTGTTATGTACGGGTAGCAGTACAAATTATTTTAAATTAAATATAAATTTAGATTTCTTATGTGTGGAAAGAAAGTTAATTTCTTAAAACTGTAAATATCCTTTCTCAGGTATGGATGGCTGAACAGAAAACGGAAGCATATAAGAAAAAACAAGAAGAACTCAGAGTTCAATATGAGAAAGAACAGGAACTCCATGAAAACAAGTAATTTTCTTAATACTGTACATTAACATTATACTCTGTGAAATTATGAGTATTGTATATTTATCATCTTACACCTGAAATTTTGAAATTAAATTTAATTAATCATATAGTTCATTAAATAATCATTCATAAACTTAAAAAGACATTGAATTGAGATTTTTGCATAGAGTGTTTGGAAGTTCTTAACAATGTTACTGATTATACTTATACATACAATATTTTATATTGCATTGTGTACTTAAATGAGTTCTTGAGTTTGATGATTATAATTGTGATAATTTTTGTCATATATTATTAAGTTGTATAAGTTGTTGTACACTATAATCTTTAGTTTATCTCCCTGTATGTTTCTATTATTCCTTTTTATGAGGAGTATAAAAAAAAACAATCTGCCTTTGAAATATAAAATTACTAAAAATTACATATATTTAATATAATTTTTATTTATTTAATTTTAATATAATTTATGTACAATCATAATTACTTATAAAATTAGTCTTTGTGATTGTGCCAGCTAATTTTGCGATGTTTGAATGGGAAATAGGCTGATGTCCCCCATGATGGGAAGTGGTAATCACCCTGTAGATATTAAAATTATCATGGACCTCACAGGCTGCACTGACTGCAGTGTTACCTGTTATAGTGGTTTCCAGAGAACTAAAATCTTATGTTTTATGCAGGTATGCTGTAATTTCACTGTCAAACTGAAACATAATCATACAAACACAGTAGTGAACACAGAAGTACCCAAAGTAGAGGACATATTGTACAAACTAACTTTTGCATGTGCATGTCATTTAAACTGATACAAAGCATTATTGACAGAGTAACTTGAAAATTGTTTTTTTTTTTTCTATTACAGAGCATTACTGAGTAAGGACAGTAAGGATAAACTGAGCCTTAATTTTATGTATGAACCACCACCTGGTGTAAAAAAGGAACGTGAACGGGAAGATAATGAACCAGAGTACAAATTCGAATGGCAAAGGAAATATAATGCGCCAAGGGAAAGCTATTGCAAAGGTGACAATGAAATCCGAGATCAACCATTTGGTATACTTGTCAGGAATGTAAGGTGCATTAAGTGTCATAAATGGGGTCATATTAATACTGGTAAGTAAAATATTAGGTATATTAAACTAACTTCTTTACAATGAAAAATAATGAATGAATATTATGATTTTTATATATATATAAATATTTAAAAGGTGGCCTAATGTAAGCATAGCCTACTGCAGAATTATCAAATAGCTAACCCTGGATCAGGAGTGGCGCTTTCAGCTATGGACAAAGACTTATATAAGACTATATATACACTTAAGGGGTCAGGTCCCTCCTGGAATGTTATCTTAAATATACCAATACAAAGGAGATTCACCACCCTAACAGATTGAATGAAAATCATACACATAATTAAATTTACAGCCATTTTTTTTTTCTGTTATATTTATAAAATGTACTTATTGAATATGAAAAGATATAAATGTAATCCTATCGAATTACCTACAATTAATCGAAACTATCGTTTTGAGTGTGTGAGTTAGGAAGTATTGCCTTTTATATATTTTGATAAGAGATATAAATAAACAGTCATAAACTCGCTTTACGATATTTAATTATTTAGTGAAAATATTATTCAATATCCAAAAGTTTATAGAGAAATGATGAAATAAAAAATGCAGTTACAATATTCTGAAATATGTATAATATTTCTTAATTCTAATATTTCTTCTCATTTCAAGTGACGCTTTTTTAACAGAAAGGGTATTAAAAACATTGGTGGAATAGACTCATTCAATTTATATACTTCTTCATAATTTTATTTATTCTTTATTAAAATAATCCACAGATAAAGAATGTTCGATGTATTCATTATCTATGAGTGAAGCGCGTGCTTTACAAGCCTCCACATCAGCTCCAGAAGAAGAAGAAGTCAAACCCGATGTACCTACTCTCATGCAGCAAATGCGGGATACTGGATTGGTGATGAAACCGGGAGCTATGCCATTAGCTGCTACAAAAGTAGAAGACAATGATGCATCAAATTTCACTGAAATGGATCTTATAAGTCAACTGACAAAAAAACAAAAGAAAAAGTTGTTGAAGTATGTACACACGTTTTTTTCTGTCTGTGTGAAAAATATCTAAAATAAGTTTTTTATAATTATTGTAAAAACACTTGCACAGTTCCACAATTAATAATTTCTTTTTAAGTTTATCTATTACAAAGAACCACATCTGTCCTCTTTATGATATTAGTATTGAATTTGGTAATGATGATAATGCCATAAAGTTAATTAATCAGTTATTTAATAACTGACTTATTATTTTCGCATTGTGGAACAAGTAATTTTTACAATAATCATAAACTTGAAATCCATAGATGGTAACAATTGGTACCAATTATTACAATAGGATTTTCTATTTTTGATCTGTGCATAGTAGGCAGCCAGGTACAGAGAGCTTAGTTAACTATACATACTAAAAAACTATCATCATCATGCTGCACTCATTGAGTTTATTTGCACCCTATTTGCATTTGAATTGTTATTGTTTCAAATTTACCAAAAAAATACTTTCTATAAGTAAGTCATTCATGAGTACCCATGTGTGTTTTTATGACCAAGTAGCCTTACTTTCATGACTGTTTTTTAATCATGGAATATCGCGGTAAAGTTATTTGGTATAGAGACAGAATATTTATACTGTATACGCAGGCGGGGCATAAGTCAGGTCAGGTACCATTATAACAAATTCGCCAAGAATTAATTATAATGATATTTAAACAGGACTACAATGGAGGTCAACTTGATAGTAATGGCTAGTAATGGGATCGTCGCCAGTATAAGGGTTTACATTCTATTTTCATCCTTTAGAAAAAATTAGCGTTATCGAAAACGTATTTCGTATTAGATAGCCAAACACTTTCTCTATTTTTTGGCATAATATCTATTTAATTAAAATTTTAAATATCTTGTTTCAGGAAACTTGAGAAATTGGAAAAGAAAAAGGAGAAAAAACACAAGCATAAGTCTAAACACTAAAGTAACTGTAGGTGCACATATAGGTACTTATACATATCTTTGTTTTGTTTATATTGTATTTGCAACATTGTATCTAATACTTAAATATAATTATAATGCTATACTGTAAGTATCTAATGTTGTTTTCTTTTATTTTTTGAACTATAATTGCCCAAATAGCCAATTATAAAATATTTTATTATTAAAATATAAATAATTGTAACTGTGTCTATAATAAGTTTACTACTGTAATCTTTTGGAGGAAATAGTTTGTCTATCTATAAAATGAATGAAAAAATATACCTACGTAATATACGTAACAAATATTGATCTGCCTTTATTGCAATAGTTCTATGCTACATAATGACTTATGATTACAAACATGTTACACATCCATAAAGGAGAAGAAAAAGTGGTTGTGCATCGATCACATTTCTTTTTATTGTATGATAATGAAATGGTGACTCCGCATGCGCTATCGATATACACTGGCGGGGTTACCAATAACGGATAATAGATGATGATGAAAAAGCAGATCAGCTAGCCCGTTGTGACGATTTCAACGATAAATTAGTCACAATAGTTTCTAGGAGAATCCACTTAGAGGTCAATCTGTTAGGATATATTGCTAGCAATGGGAAAACCTTCCCATTACTAACCCCCCCCCCCCCCAAATTTGTGAAAATATACGAAATATACACAGTTCGTATTCAACAAATTTCAATATATATTTTTTTTATTCGCAAATTAGGGTAAGAACGTTCTTTTATACAAAATTGTTTTTTTATACAAAATTTTGCTACCACAAAACACGAGTTTCATGTTGAAAACAGCAGTCTCTCCCAATTTCTCTTAGACGGTGTTATACTTAAATATCGTCAATAGAATTATGAGATATTGACATTATTACGATTCCAAAAAATTTTTACCTCAAATGTTTAATAAAATAAAATAAATATTTTACATTGGCTCCTCAACATAGAATGTTAACTACCTTGTGTTACGATACTACTCATAAAAGAAATGATAGTTGCTATGTGGTGGGGATAAGTTAGGCGAATACATTTCTTTTTTTTATACTACTTAGAATGACAAACAAGCTGACGGCCCACCTGATGGAAAGTGGTAGCCGTCGCCTATAGATATGAGCAGTACCATGGACATAACAGAGTATACTGTTTCGCCCATTATACCCTCATGTGTTGCTATTCCTGAGAAATAAGCAATATATATAGTGCACAATTATAATGAAAATTTTACTACAGCGCTAGAATAATAAGTAACGCAATTGTGCTTTTAAAGTTATGAATATGTTGAATGGCTATCCATTACTTCTTTTTTCCCAGAAAGAAGTTTCTACAATAAACAGCTTTGACAACTGCAGAAAAACGTCGGTGTAGGCTTAAGTTACGATTGTTTCCAGGGAGAACCATGTGGAGGTCGACTTGATAAAGTATATTGCTAGCAATGAGGTTGCTAATCATCATTACTAATAATCCCTTCTCCCCCATACTACCTATATTTATGTGTTTAAATTAAAGACTAAATTAGATGAAATAACTTTATTTACATGTATATAAATATATACAATTGTGTAATAGGTACATTACTTATATTCATAAATTTACAATTTTAATTTCAAAGATTTATTACATCATATTTATTATTGAATTATCTGCAAACATACGTTACAAGTCTAGATCGCAAAAAATAACGTAATTATATATTCATAAGCAAAATCAGCTCATCTAAGAACATACTCGAATTTACACAATATCATTTACCATTATATACATATAGTATTACTTACTCCTAATCAATAATTAGAATAATTTTATTACGAAATAATTTTCAAGTTTGTTATATGTACATTGTAATATTTTAGTAATGTACATATATATATTTTTATTATTATGATAAATTATACGAAAAAAATAAAGCATCTTACATGTTAATTAGAAGATAATGGTTTATTTATATAATATTAATCATTTACCTACATTTAATATCACATTGACTACATATGAATAGTTTAAAATGAATACATTACTAATATAATTAATACACTAATAAAAATATTGCAACAAAGCGATGTCTGTATATGGGAGATATTTAAGAAAAAGATTTATGAGGGATGTTAATAGGACCAATAGATAAAAAACAATAATTATTAGAAATTTTGTCTGTCTTCATGTTATTTCTAGCAGTATGTGAAAACTATTGCACCAAATTGGATAAGGTTTTTACAGTTGTATTCCTAAAGATCTAATTTAAAATGTGCTATATATTACTTTTTGATATGCCACCTAGAAGTGGCCTATTTCATTGGTTGTCCTACTTCTGATGTGTATGCGTTCAAAGTAGCGGACAAAATCTAGTAATTGTAATACTATTTTTGTGCTCATTCTCTAGAGAAACTATTATATAGTAGTGAAGAAAAAATATTAATATACATAATTAATAAACTTTGTATATTAAATTTTATTTGAATGATATTAAATAACAAACTTCTAAACATTTAAACTTTCATGTGTTTTTAAAAACTTTTACATATATTCAGAATATAACAATTACTTATTATATTTTGACGTAGGTTTTTTCATCAATTTCAATAATGTCCTGACGGTCATTTCTCTCTTTCCAGTGTAGATATAGTACAAGACCTGTTATTACAACTAAAATAGCTGATAACACAAATACACTTTTAAGAATTACTTTACTCGGTGTAACAAATAATTGAGCTTTCCACTGTGAAGGATCAAAGGGAGGTGATGGAATTACTACTATTTGAGAATTGGGAATTATTTGGGTCCAACTTTTTGAATAACCTGAAAGACCTACAGACAAAGTGTCAACAAAATTTGGTGTACGATCTAAACCAAATATAGAATAAGGAAGTTGGAGAGCAAAATATGCTGACTGGGACAATTGTGCACACACTCCAGTTCTGTAATTGCCTTCTTGGGACCAAGTATTATAGCCAATCTTGGGGCCTGGTAAGTTAGTTCCTAAAACAAAACAAAAAATTATGAAATACCTATTTCATCTGAGTAAACCACTAAACACATAGATAAGATCTTACCAAATGTTACTTTTCTGTTATATAAAGTCCCATTAATAACAGGCACCTTTTCATTTGTTAATCCAGTTACAACAATTACCTTTATAAAGTTTGTATCATACTCTAGCTCATTTTTAAAAGCATGCATAGTATACTTTTGTGATGTGTGATTTTTTTTAACATATATAACATCAAGCACACCATCCATGTAAAAATCATAAAATGTAGCCATAACAACATCTTTTCCAAATGCATCAAAATTATCCCATTGGACCTTAAATGTTCTATAAAATATACATCCTGGTAGCTCACATGGAATATTATGAAATAAGAATACTCTAGTTTCATTATTATTTACTGGGCTTAATGTCATCAATATGTCAGGATATCCATCCATGTTGTAATCTCCACTACGCATAGTTATTGTGTCTAGGTATATTTCTTTCCTTGGAGGTGTAAATCTCCATAATGTACCTTTGCCATCATTGAAGTCAATTTGCAAGTCATGCCATTTTTTATTGTCATAAATTAATACAGTGCTATTTACACATTCAATATCATAACACACAGGTATAACTAAAAAGAATTGACCTGAAAGTGCTACATCAATGAAAAGTGCTTGACCATAAATTACTGGATGACCAACTAGTAGTTCTATGCTATTATTGTACCTGAATCCACTGACTTCATCATTAAGCCACACTTCAATATCTAATGTCGTAGTCAGTAATAAATCGGCAGCATTATCAAAATTGATATCTAAAAATGAGTGTGAATGTGGAAGTTTTATTTGTTTATATATTCCATCACCCATCTTTATTTCTCTGGGTAGATCCCTTGACTGATCAAATATCCAAAATACTCGTTCACCATTAGTATTTATACCAAACAAATCTAATGTCATGTCACGATTATAATCCATGACTAATGGTTGTCCAAAACTAATAGCTTTTACTTGGAGAGCATCAGTGCAGTTTAAACTAGGCATCCCTCCCCATATAACTCTTATTTCATGCAAACTGTCTTTATTTTGTAATTTTGCATTTTGTGTAGTCAAAAGTATGTCCATGTAAGCATCACCATCGTAATCCCCTGGTACAATGCTAGTGATCTCAATATTGGTAAAATTACAAGCATACGAAGATGGTCTTAAAAAAGGTTCTTTATCATGAGCTAAGTATACTACTATACTTGAACTATTTATAATAACAAACGCATCAGTTAATTCATCTGAGTTAAAATCGCCAAACGAAGCTATTACTCCCTCTTTGAATTTCCCAAAAGAGCTTTCCGTCATGTCAGTTGATGACCAAACGTGAGCAAAAATTACACACAAAATACAACAATAAAATATTTCAGTTGCCATTACGTATAAACTTATTAGAACATTAACTTTATAAGAACCATAATGAGTTAAATTACAAATTTCAATTTAATAGGCAGGTAAGTAAACTTTGTTTCGTTTTGCATCTTCTGTCAATTTCACTTTTGGCAAAAAGTAAATAACCAAGAGATAAGAATACGCAATTCATATAAGCTACGTAAAACGACTCAGTCAGGAATATCTCACCAATCTGCACAAAAATTACTCCTTTTCTTGTTATGTTGGTCAGCCTGATGTTCAAAATTGAAACGAAAAGGTTATAGGTATTATACTATAGTTTGATAGTAGAATCACGAATCTTGGGATAAAAGACATTTTTTTTTTGCAATAATAAAACAAAAGAAAACATTTTTAAATATATTTATTATTTTATACAATATGTTGAAGTAGGTGCTATGTGTTATGTTGGACTGTAAAGTCCATACATTGCTAAGATACTTTTTATGTTACTCTCTGTCTAAAATTAAATAAAATATAATACGTTATATAGATTTCCCTTATTTTATTTCATCATAATACTATTTTGAAATCGCAATTTCATAATATTATTAATAGCAAACACAAGTTTACAACACGAATATCTGGTCAATTTCTAGAGTAGACCTCATAATAGAGTCAATATTACTTATATATAGTAGTAATTTTCCCGTCAAAATAAAAAGGAATACGCAATACAAAGCTAAAACTGTACCATAAATAGTTTAAATGGCATCTATTTGCATCACATTTGAGAGTGTTTTCGTTAGTTAAATTGGCACTATTTTGATTTCATCAGTTATTTAAATGTTGACATGATGTTTTCTGATCAAATCCATACATTAAAAGCTAGTATGGAAGTTACACAAGACTGACTCCGTGCATTTTTGTATAGGTTTCTAGGTATGTACAATAGGTATTGTACCAGGCTTCTGACATTGGAACATCGTTATTGGGATGACGTTTTTTTATAAAACTAAGTTACCAAACTGTATTTCATCACAGCAGATTAAAATAACCTTGAATAGGCGCCATGACAGTCAGAATTATGGCACCACTAAAACAGCATTTCACTCATAAATCCATTTTTTTAAATATTATAATAACTTATATGTGTTTTGATAAATTACGTATTAATAAATGTAAATTTGTGTTGATGAAATATAATGCAAAGAGTAAACGACATTTTAAGCTTAATTTTCAGTAGATTTGAACTTGTGAATAAACAATAATTATGATTAATATAGTTAAATAAACTTTGCATGTATTATTTAATTTTTTAATATGTTCGTTCATATAGTAGAGGAGCTGGTTTTCATGAAATATTAAAAATTTTGCTGAACTTGTAAAATTAACTAAAATCCATTAGTGTTGTTCGGAATAACTTGTTCCTACCACGGTTCTGACTATTTATCGATATGAATTGTCATTGAATTATAAGTAATGATATATTACGAAGGTAAATAGTACTAAAATTTTGCATGACTAATTAATTAAATATATTTGTAGCACGCTGTTTCTCGTTAAAATGTTAATTTAAAAACAATTTTAGTCATACTATAGTTATTTATGTGGTTATAGCCGTGTGGTCCCGGCTTAGAAATGTCCAGCCTTTCCTTACCCGTGGGTGTCGTAAGTGGCCACTAAGGGAACTTAATGATTGAAAGATGGGCAACAGTGTTCATTAGGGGAAAGAATTTTTTTTTATACCATTGAGGTGGCAAGCAAGCATACGGCCCACCTGATGGTAAGCGGTTATCGTAGCCTATGAACGCCTGCAATACCAGAGGCATTACGCGCGCGTTGCCGAAAATGAAATTGTTAGTAATGGGCTTTAACAGCCTCTATGCTAGCAATATACCCTAACAGGTCGACCTTGACGCGGTTTCCCTTGGAAACCATCGTGGTTGATTATTGATGAATTTGTCACGATGGGTCAACAGACCTGCTTTCGTCCTTATCTCTTGTTACTACTCTGCTAGCGTATACCGGTAGCTCAGGCGGAGCTGCCATTTTATCTTCATCAATTAAAAAAAAGAAAACAGTGTCCCTCTTAAAATATTACTAAAACCTAGCTACGATTCTCAACCTGCCTGACATGTGTAGTAATTACTGGCAAAACCCCCTTATAGAGGAGGTCTATGTTCAATAGTGGACAATTAACGGCTGATATGATTATAGTTATATGTAATTTCAATAATACATAAATAGGACCTTTTTTCTTATATGTACATAACATAGCACGTCTATATTCTTTAGAATTGAATTTGTGTTTTTTTCAGATGCTGTTTGAGTTGGCACAATATTTGAAACTATTTTTTAATGTGCCAAGAAGAATTTACATTACTTAACTGTAAAAAAATGAGATTTTAAATCGTAGTCGTGTAAAATTAAGTGTCTAAATATAAATACTTGTTTTATTGTTCATGCTTTTTGTAAAATTTAATGTTTTTACATTATAGAATATCCAGCTTTTTTTAGCAATTGTCGAAACCGATATATTGGATGAAGGTATATAGATAATGATACAAAACTGTGGGTATTCATTGATTTTTCCTTTTTTTTTTATAATCTTTATTGTGTTGTTACTTCGAAAAGGTAACATGCTTTGCATTTTTTTCTAGGTTCCATTGACTTAAGGCAGGTGGCAACTCTTATAACGTAGTGATTACTTGCTCTGTGGCCGGTGCCAACCCACATAACGCATTGATAACTTACTCTGTGGTTTTAATCTAATTAATCTTTGGTTTAATATAAAAAAAAGGTGAAACGTCCATTATATTCTCTAGTGTAAATCAGTGTTTTTTCTTTACTTATTAATTTATCTATTACACGAGATTTTTCAATAAGGAATATTTAATTATACTTTACCCAGTGTTGATAATGGCTGATGGTGTACAAATATTAAGGCGCAATCGCCCAGGGTTTAAGGCAAAGGTAAAATTGAATTTTTATATTTTTATGATAAGTTGTTTATCATGGCCTTAGTTGTACGTATCGTGTATTTCAACAAGATACGTATTAAATATACCTTAATCAAAACATACACATTAAACATTGTGATTACTTAATTAAATTTCAAACACCTATATTTAATTTGTCGCTTCCATATCGCCGGGTATGTTTTACTCGAAAGAATTTGCAACTGAACTAACAAATTTTGATTGTATTTTATTTTAAATCATAATTCGTAACGGTTTAAATTTGTATAATCTGACAGAAATATTTTTTGTAATTCTTATATGTTATAACAAATTTTTATTTTAACGTCAGGAGGAACCTATAGTGCACTTTACTATCTATAATATGTTGTATATTGTAGATAGTAAAGACGTAATATATTATTATGTCATATTATACATATTCTTTTTAATCGATGAAAATGAAATGGTAATCCGTCTGTATTATTGGTATATTTTGGCAGACACCATTGATAGATAAATGAAGATGAAGCAAGTTAGTTGGCCCATTGTGATGAATTTATCAAAAATTAACCACAATAGTATCCAGGAAGAATTGCATGAAGGTCAATTTATTAGACTAATTTGGACTATATATACATTTATTTCTGACGAAATAATAAAAACATATACATCACAAAGTACCATGCCAGATATACTCCCACAATTGAATTGATATGGTTAGATTGAGACATTTTTCATTATAAAGATATCCCAATACCTTAGTTTCTATTATACTGCTATAGAAAATATGTTTTATCAATAATACATCTTATATAATTATTTATTTAGGATTTTTGCCGCTGGCCAGATGAGCCTTTTGAAGAAATGGACAGCACATTGGCTGTCCAACAATTTATACAACAAACCATTCGTCGTGATCCAGCCAATTTAGAAGCTATATTAAAAATGCCTGAGGCACAAGATGAAGGAGTTTGGAAATATGAACATTTAAGGTAAATGTTTTTTAATTAAAATAAAAATAATGACAAATAAAAAACAGTAGATATAAGTTTTAATTATTATGTAACTGTTTAATACACTGTTACATAGTTGCAAGTCTGATTCTTGTGCAATACAGACATTCATATGTTTATATTTAATGTTTTATATGTAAATAATATGCATTTATTTACAAATATATATATTAATAAAAAAAAGTAATTTTGCAATATTCTTATTATTATAATAAATATTTTTTAAATATTCTGTTTATTAAAAAAGAGCATTGAAAACTGTATCTTACTTCCTACTAACTTATTAATTAAATAATAGTTGAACAGATTTTAATTAATTTTAGTCCATCCTATATTAACACATAGGCTCTACTTTTTTTTTATAATACATACATATCTGTCATGCCTGTCTTCCATTAGAGAGAATATAATACATATAATAAAAATTAATTATTTTAACTCAGACAATTCTGCATGGAATTGAATGGACTGGCCGTCAGGTTACAAAGTGAATGTAAACCTGAGACATGCACACAAATGACAGCAACTGACCAATGGATTTTTTTGTGTGCTGCACACAAAACTCCTAAAGAATGTCCTGCCATTGATTACACTAGGCACACCCTTGATGGCGCAGCTTGCTTATTGAACAGCAATAAATATTTTCCAAGCAGGTATGAAAGTCATGATGATATATATCAGATTAGATTACATGATAATTAACAGTGTATTTCATTTTATTATTTTTTCAATAGATTATTTGTTTTATAAGAACTCGCAGGGCAATTGCTTTCTGAGTCCAGCTAGACCTTTACAATCGTATCCTAGCTAATCCAATTTAATAAGGTTAAAGTAAAGGTTTTCACATAGAGTAGCTTTTTAATATACATAACCTTTGACATAATGGCAATAATAATTATATATTTTTTGCATTTTAGAGTCAGCATCAAGGAATCTTCAGTTGCTAAGCTGGGATCCGTATGCAGAAGAGTTTATAGAATATTTTCACATGCCTATTTTCATCATCGGTCTATATTTGATGCATTTGAAAAAGAAACTCATTTATGCAAGAGGTTTACTTATTTTGTTACAAAATATTCAATAATTGCAAAGGAAATTTTGATTCTACCCAAGCTTGATGATGAGACACCAATTACACCACCTGTTGGCGAATCAGAAGCCTGAGAATTAAAGAAATAAATTGTTTTGTGTCTATTTATTCTTATATATGTGATTTATAAGTATTGAGCTCAGAATCTTCACTGTTACATAAGAATATAGATGTACCTAGTAATAATTTTATTCTTAAATTGTTTAGTGTATGCATACTGTACTATTAGATTATTTATATAATAACAGACACATAGAATATTGTAATACTGTATTGTAAAGTAAAACAATTTATATAAACTTTATATATCATTACTGATTTGCAATTTTGTGGTCTGTCAATGCAATCAACATTATAAAAACTACTAATGTAAGTAATTTAAAGATCTATAACTAGGAATTAGCAATATGAATATTGTATTAAACTTGACACCATAATCACTATTCTGATTATATTGTTTAAATTACTATTTAGTTGAACTTAATGTAAAAATATATTTACTTTCAAACTGTTTTTTTTTTTAATAAAAATAATTTTAATATAATTGTTTTTACCTTTATTTGTTAAGCCTGGTCCATAAAATTGTTCATCAGGGTACAATATATGTATAATTGTTTGGATGTAATTAACAAACATACAAGCTTTAACAATAGGACTGGCTAAAAGTTTCTCCACTTTATAAAATGCTAATCTGTCAATATTTTAGATATAGAATAATTACTACTACAAAGTATTGTAAACAAATGTATGAATATAAGAGCATGAGTGCTAGAACAAATAACACTAATATTCATAATAAAGTAAATGTGTCAAGACATCAAAGTTAAAACAAAAAATCTCATTTGATTAGAATAAGTGCTTTTTAAAACAAAGCAATTAAGGATTTTGAGGATCCTTAAGGTAAATTGGGTAAAAATAGCTAAATAATATAAATAATTATAATTACATAAGCAAATAATAGTGTAAAGTTTATTTCTTTCTATGAATTTTCAACAGTTTTCTTATATTTAAAAAGTTTTTTAGATTTATATGGTTGATTTTGCTTTGTGTTGCTGGTAGAAACCTCTTTATGCCAAAATTTCTTTCCTTGTAAGGTTTGATATCTGAAACACATAATTAAAAGCTAGTATAGTTGATTTTCCAACCTGTGTGGCAATTTCAAAGTACTGAATTTAGCAAAATCAAGTAAAATGGACATCTCATATTAAAGACAATATTTACACCTAGGTAGACCCAATGATGGTTAAGTACCCCCTGAGTAAATATTAAAAATAAATTTAAATAACAAAATTGTGCAAACCTATTTAAAAGTGCATAGTAATGTTAATACTATTCTGAAAAAGAAGGAAATTAATTATAGAGTGTTGATTTATTTGGATTTCTGGCTGTTAAACAAGTAGCAGGAAAATGTAAAAATAAGAAGGTAACTTTTTTACACTGATTATTAATATAATAACTGAATATTCCATATGCAAGATTTAGATATTTAAAAATATGAAACAATACTTACCCAAGTTCATTAATATCAGTAATAGGAGTTACTGACAGTAGTATATGTATTACAGGTATTTGTCTTTTGACTACAATTGTCTCAAGTCCATCCAATTTGGGTTCCCAATATTCTTCAACACTGAAAGTGTTTAAAATTTGAAATGTAAGCAAGATAGCATTACACCAAAAAGCATGTACAATATCAAAACAAAATAAGTACAAAATTAATTTGTGTTAAAAAGTGAGACTTGAATATTTAAAAAAAAAAGCAATAGAATGAATGTCATAAATGAACTATAAAGACAAGTTAACATTTAAATGCTATTTACTTTTTATGTGTTAACTTAGTAACTTGATATCCTATTGAAAACTGTCGTTTCAAAATTTCTGCACAGGAAATAGCTTTTGGGATTCCTACTCCTGCTGCGCTCCAAACAACAGCAGTTGTTGCTTTATCCTCCAAAATGCCGGATGCATGTGAAAGCAGATTTCCCATTTTACTTCCACCTTTTACCTATAAAATTATAGTTAAGTATTAAAACAAAAACCATATGCTAATACACCGGTTACTATTTGTTAATAATTTAAATTTGCTAAATGGTACTATAGTATAGGTAAGCAACTGTAGGTTATCGTCAGTAATTTATATTTAATAAGAAAGTAAAGTCTATAAAATGTGTAATCAACAGCTTACTTGCATCCAAAGAAAATTCTCTGGTAAATTTTTAATTGGTATTCTGTCCCGTTCTAAGTCTTCCTCCACATTTTTCCCTTTATAATAATTCTCCATTATTTAATAATATTATTAGTTATATATTCATTTGTTAATAAAATATAATTTAATATGTGAATGAGCTGTCATTGAGTTGTTGTCAAATAACTTAATTTTAAATAAATTTGTAGAATATATATTTTTTAGTACGTATGTTTCGTTGTGGAACAGGCTAAGGTCGAAGACCATGCTGCCTAGTCTTCAATATAATAATTTGTCTGAAATATTTTGTAGGATATAATAATTACATCATTTTAATTTATTTATGTAAATTTCGTCAGTCTATGCAACCATATTTTTGCAACATTAGGAATTTTAAGAAAATTGTGTGTTCATCATAGGGATAGGATATTTTTAAGCATAATTAATTTTTTTAAACTATATTTAAAACTATATATTATGGAACCTGATAATAAGATAATAATAATATGATAATATTATAAATAATATATTTGTATATTCGTATATTATACATTTGTTATTATAAAGAATATTCATTGTATATTAACAATATATATTTATTCTTAATATATAATCAATATTATGTGAAATATATGGCATATTTCTTTTATTGAAGGAATTGTTATTTGAATTTGAGAAAAATTACAATATGAATTATACTCAATTTATTGTTTTATAGGCATTTGTAGCTACACTATATTAATAAATACCTGGTAAAAATCGTAGTGTTCTACGAATGTTTATTTACTCTGTGGATGACATAGATGGTTGCATAGCATGATTTTTCAAATTTCGTAAATTTAAGAGCAGTGCAGTGCTCTTGTCAGCCGCACATACTTTAGCTACAGAATGAAACTTTAGCACTGTTTTTCATTAATGGCTTTTACGGTTCTGTATACTAATCCTTCTTTCTATTAAGTATTATAATTATAGCTGTTTTGTAATATAATCACAGTATAAATAATAGAACTAGTTCATAGTATGTATTAGTATAGTAGTGTTATATTTATATTGTAATAGTAGTTTAGATAGAGTACACTTCACACAATGCCATCTAGTTTCAACATAAGTAGAGTTTGTATTATGAATATTAGATGAACATAGATAAATATATATGTAGGCGTCTAATCAAAGATTTTGGAATTAAACTGAATGTTCTTAGCATCTAATACGTATGAATTAAAAAATATTAAATATATCATTTAATTTTTCTTTTAATTCATACGTACTATAAATAGTACTTTCTAAGAAACGCCAGACCAATACAAACGAACACACTCATGAATACAAACGTTTTAATTGTTATAGATAGAAACCGCGACCATTGGAAAGTAAGGCGATTTGTTAAACCGCTACAACCCGAAGAAATCCTTTTAAATTCATTATGTCAGTGCTTGTTGTTGCTAGTAATGGGACTGTTAGATCCTTTTACTAATAAGCCTTTTCCCCTCGTTACAATAGTAATAATTACTGTCAGTCATTTGAGTCGATTCTGAGGCGTCATTTCTCTAGTGGTCAAAATTTAATACTACAAATCTTCCCATTCAGGAGGAAAGGGATTATTAGTATTGGGGTCTAACTGAGCCATTGTCAGCAATACACCCTATCAGGTTGAACTCCACGCATTTCCCCCTGGAAACCATTGTGGTTAGTTTTAATGGCATTCGTCAAGATGGGCTAACTGACCTGCTTTCATCGTCACCTATCATTCTTCACTGGTAGCTCGGCAGCGTATACCGATAGCGCAAGTTGGGTTACTATTCCATTATCACTCATTACAAAAATACCTTTCGATCCGGGGGAAGGAGTTTGGAGTTTTAATGGATTCTAACAGCTCAATTTGCTAGTAATATATCCTATTAGGTTGACTTCCACGTATTTCGTCCCGGGGAATCATTGTGGGTTAATTCTTTTGAATTCTTCACGATGGGCTGACTGGCCTGCCTTCATTCTCACCTATCATCTATCACTGGTGCCCCATCGGCATATACCGACAGTGTAGGCTGAGTTACCATTCCATTTTCACATATTTAAAACAACCTTTCGATCCTTGTTTTATGATAGTAAATAAGTATAGATTTTGTCTATCATTTATTTATGTATTTTATTAATACATAACTAAGCTGCCGACATGTCGATATTTTGTTGTCGATATAAAATGAGGACATATATACAATATTTGTACTTATTGCTAAAGCCGCATAGAGGTTATCTATTGCGATATAAAGAAGTCATGGTTATTCGTATCGAGCATTCCTACAAGTTACTGGCACAGTGAATAAAAGTAGTCAAATATAGGTTCAGTTAAATATCAAATATGAAGTTGTTATTTTTAGTCATTTGGTTAATTTCTGTAGACGTAACACCGAGTTTGACTCGTAATGCGTTCGCTATCGATGAAAGTTGGGTGTGCAGCGTGAAGAAGTCGTGCGTAGAATGTTTACGTTTAAGTCAGTGCTCGTGGTGTCCAACTGATAATAAATGTTTCTCAATGAAACTGCCTATTTTTAATGATTTTTGCACTGATAGCGCTATAGAACACAAAGATTTTGGTTGTGAGTTTCATATTTTCATAATATTATTATTATTGCCTGATTCGTGGGTTTTTTTTTTGTACCTAAAATCAACAGTTTTCTTTTTAATATTTGAGTGGTAACTCTGCGTGTGTTAGCGGTTTACGTTTGCGAGATTCCAATGAGGGATGATAGATGATGATGAATTCAGGTCAGTTAGCCCATAGTAATGAATTTGTCGGAAATTAATCGTGACTGTTTCTAAAGGGATCCCATGGAGATCGACCTGACAGAGTATATTGCTAACACATGGGGCCATTAGACACCATAATTACTATTAATTCTCTCCCTCCTATAACCAGCAGTAGGTAGGTGTAGTAGCAGCACCTACTCTAAAATGTCCGTGTGGTGGCGCAGTACAAATGCAATATGTCACAATTTTCTTCATTGCTAGAAAGTAATAAGGGAAAGAAGCTCAATATACCAGAGCAAAAGAAGGAAAAAACCCAATATCAAGCCATCCTACTCATAGACGTACCTAGTATAAAGTATATCAGGTTATATCCTTTTCTCTAGGAAGACACCTATATTTAGTAATGGAACAATAATGGGTTATTATGGTGTATGGCTACCCGGGAAATCTTTAAATAAAAATATTTCGAGATTGTTGAGTTTTTGAACTGACTCATTCAAATATGATATTAACAAATTTAAAATGTCTAAATTACGATAAAAAAAAAAAAATAACGCGACCGAAGAATTATCATTTTATATCAATTTTGATGATTCCGTTTTTAATCGATAATCTTTTAATGCTAAATTTAGTTTTATTTATACAAAAACACGTCTTATTGTATGACCATTTTCTGTGTTAGAATAAAAATGCAAATAAAAAATGTACCGGTTGTAGAATTCAAATCTATAGGTATATTAAGTTACTTGAATTCAAAAAATTTGAATTGAATGCGATTAATACTATTTCCAGTTAGTTTGGAAGATAATGCAATATGCGCTTGCTCCAAATCCAGTGAAATAGAGTTAGAACAGAATTGTTATCCACCGGGTATATCAGAAGGCGTCGAATGTTCTGGACGTGGAGAATGCGTATGCGGACGCTGTGTCTGCGACCCCACTCCTGATTTTGAACATCCCACAAAGGTATAGATACAATTAAATAACTTGAAAATTGACCACGAGTTTGGCAAATTAAATTAAATCAAAACTTTACGTAGAGAAGTGTCTACTACGCAAACAAAATTTACTTATAGTGTGGGAACAACATAAGAGGTAAACACTTATGATTTAAAAAGAATTATCAAAATCGTTTCAGTATTAATAAATATATCTAATAACATACACACACACATACAAAATAATTGAGAATTTCCTTTTTTTTGACAATGCAATTGTATATTCCCAATTACCTATTTTATGCCTACATTAATATTGAGCTAAATGTGTACATTCTGGTTCTCGTGGGTAACACTAACTCTAATTTATGACTTTTTAGATGATTTTAGGAGAATATTGTGAGTTCGACAATTTCTCGTGCGATGGACCCAGGTGTAATGAAGGACCTTACTCACTGGCACAGTCTGGGAGTGATGACGAAGACAGTCCTGATGACGTGGACACTGAAATCGAAGATGAAACGTTTACTATGCAATAAGTAGTTCGTATTATTTTCAAATAATAAGCATCTACATAACTATTTTTATATATTTGTTATGATGGTTAGGCCACATTTAATCTATCGATTGTGTGAATAACTCCTTATTTTAAGTATAAGCTCCTTATTTTAATTAAATAAGTATATATCCTTTTTATTAACACGTGTTTTTTTTATTCTTCTTCGGTCTTTATATTAAGACATACAATAACTATTATAATATTATGTTATTTTTATTTATATACGTTATTTTTCTTTCTTTTTATTAAAATTGCTAGCAAGCCAGCTTGGTTAGTTCACAGGTAGATAGTATTTTCAAAAATAATATAACACATAACTTACTTACTGATAAAACTTTCTACAGTTGAAAGAATTTTTAAAATCGGTTTATTAGTTTTTGAGTTTAACCATTACAAATAAACAAGCAAACAAATAAACAAATCTTTCCACTTTATAATATTAATATAGATATATTATTTTTCAATTAGAATCGTTAATTATAAATTAGTTTATTTTCATCATACATAGAGATAGTACTTACTCGAAATTGACGGCGTTCTTTGTCAGAGAATCCTTCCGTTGATTAACTAATAAGAAAAGTAAATCTAAAGTTGAGGGGGGTCGCTTTCAACAATGTGCCATAAAGAATGCTTAAAGATTGGTAGAACTGTATGTTTTCAGAAAGCGCGCTCGAGCGAAGGAGCCGTGCCTCAATTAAGGAATTGATATAAGCTGGGCGCCTGCCGCGGATGGCTCATCGCTCTCAAGTGCCTGCCCGTTATGGTTACGCGAAATTAGATTTCAACGAGTCTATTTTCTCCACAACTTCACCTTTTATTTCCTCAAGATCCATCGAGAACATCTTTCACGCTATCGCGTTCTAATCGATGCCAGATGTCATGAGTGGGCGGCGCTTGTTGTGGCTAGCGACAAATAATATCTAGCTGAATGTTATACATAAACATAATAGTTTGATAAAATCAAAAAATCAAGTGGTACCAAATATGAAACTTTTTTGTTATAGGTAATTTCATTTAGAAGGGGCAAAATGTAGGAAATCAAATGGTTAGTGCCGGATATTGTTTAAAACAATATAAATCAGATACCTCAGTACCGAAATATTCGAAACTACAACATGTAACCAAATGATTTTTATAGAGTAAAAAAAACCACAAACCACTTTCACTTCTTTAAATTTTAATTCATTAAATAATAATATCTTGGTAAATCATTATAAAAGTTTTCTTTTTTTTAAATTGATGATAATGGAATGCGAATCTTTATGCGCTGGCGATAAGCAGTGGGCACAAGTGAGCGATAATAGGTAAGTCAATTGGCCAATCGTAACGATTTCATCAAGAATTAACCAGGATAGTTTCAGGGAGAATCGCAGGGTGGTCGACCTGAGTATACCCCCCCCCCCCGTCATTACAGAAATAGGTACATAATATTAGTGAATAAAAAAATAATATGTAAATAGTTTTTTACCAGGATAATTATATGTTCATTGACTGTAATAAAAGTAGTCTATATCTTTTATTCAAAATGCTATTTGTATACCATATACATAATCAGGTATTGTTGTGTTTCATAAAAAAAAAAAAAATGTGTCAAAACCAGTTATTTTGATTTATAAATTAAATTATTGAACTGATTTTAATAAAATTTATGTAAGAGTTATGAGGTATCAAACATGAAAAAATTTAACCGAATTGAGAACCTCCTTCCTTTTGAAGTCAGTTAAAAATGTAACAGACTCACTTTCACGGATTATAATAACAGCCAAGTGTATTGAAATAGGTATTAATATATAGGGTTGTAGGTACTTCGTATATTCGGAGAATACACAAAAACCTATTTTAAATGTATTAAATAAAACATTAGAAACATTTGAAATAACGTTTATCTAATAAAAATAAAAATATTGCAACAATAAGTGAATTTGCGTTCAATAATTGTAGCGAAATGCTGCCTCGGGAGACGGAGCATCGAATTCAATTATGGGAGGAGCACCTAAATTGTTTTAGTGTCGACGAGGTAAGCAAGACCTTTTTCCACAAATGCCACATTTAAAAAATGTGCACGGAATATATTAATTCAAAGGCATTATACCAATTGTTTCGTTACATTTTTAGTTATGTACATTTTCGCGTCCGATTAATTACGAAGTAGGCAGAGAAAACTAAACGCTTGTTAACACTACATATAAATACTGCAATTTTATTCTATTATAATTCGTCGTTAAGAGTACAGGCATCGAAGTCTCACTTAAGATTTTTAACACTGATGTCTAAAATCTAATGAAAATATAGATTTCAATTACGAAAAAGATAGTAAGCATGGGATCAAAACCTATTGAAGTAAGTAAACCATATAAATTGCAATTGTGTAATCAATTTTATTAATACTATTTAATAATTGTTACATTAAACTATAATTTATTAATATGTAACGTAATAAGTTTTGACAACGTTCAAAATCCAACTCACGACCCTAGAGATTACAATTATCAATCGAGGTAGTAATAAATTCCTTTACATTTATAAACAAAATGTAGATTCATTAGGAGATTACAGAGTACTCTGTGATATCCATGGGCAACATTTACTAGCACTTTACATCTTAACAAGGTAGTTAGCTAGTTTGCCATTTCCTGTAAAAATTAAATATTGTGCATATACGAATACCTACTAGATAACTAGACCATCGGAGCTTCATATAAAAATTTAAATACCATTGAATAATATCCCGCGTACGTGGCCTGCATTAGAAGAGCGGAATAAAGATGTCGATAGAGGAGTTTGATAGATATATATTCAACAATAGGGGTGGATATCAGACATAATAATATGGCATTGGCATTCTGGAGTGAGGAAGAATGTGCGTTCCGTCGCGGGCGGCGACTGCCTGACGTGCCAGCATATTGCCTCGAGGGGCCCGACTCTACATGCCGTCTTTGCTGTTACGTATCGTATTGGCCGGTTCACTGATCATACTATTTAGCATTTTCTGTCGATTTTTCGCTTCAGTTTTACGTATAAGATAAACTAAAAAGGAAATATCAAGGTGGTCAGATCACGGTCAAGAAAATAATTTTTAAACCTAAAATATACAAACTGCGGGGTTGGCATGACGGATATTTTTTTTATTCGATTTAATTTTAAATGTCAATAGGTATTTATTATAATAGATGTATGTTTTCTATATATATAATATGATATTCTGTGTATAACCTTTCTTAGAAAAAAATCAATTTCATAGAGAGGTATCTACACCGTTTTATTCTTATGGATTTGATTTATTGTGTTGTATTAATATATCAGTCAGTTTGTTTTTTATCCAGATTATATAAGAAAAAATATGTACATCAATTATTAATTCGGAATTCAGTGACAGTATTCGTCAAACTAACTAAGGAACTTGTAAATTAAGTTGAAATTGGTAACGTTCAATTCAGCGTGAAATATTTTTTATAGTTTATATTATGGAGAAAATTTAGATACATAAATAATATCACTACATTTCGGTTTTCTAAACCTGTTCCAAACGTACATTATAAGACACCAATAAACATTTTAATTTCTGGTTTTCATCATACGGCTACAGCTCTAGTTAAAATTTCAGATGACATTAGGTCTGGTATAAAGAATCGAGAACTCACTGTACTAACATTACTGGACTTCAGTAACGCTTTTAATACCATCGATAATTTATTATAAGTCCTTTTCATTCCACTAAATTTTATCATAAGTTATGGATTTCTTTAGGTGTTGCTAGTAGAACTAAAAAATCTTTGATCGATTCAAGCGACAAGTGAAAGATTACCTTCTCTCTCTCTGACTGATTCTTCATTTGACAAATTGGCATTTTTTAGTGTTGTTTCTTTTATATTAATTTGTTTTTATCGTCCCCGTAATTATATATATTTGTTCAAGTGTTAGATATATATTTAATATATATGTATTTATATATGTATATAGTTAATAATTTTGTTTTTAAACAATAATTATTGTAAATATAAATATATACCCTAAGGGTGTCTTGAAAAGATTGTTTTCTGCAATAACAACGATTAATTTATACATATGTATAAATTAATCTTTTTGAATATATTATACAATACATGTGTATATATCTATATGTATATATACCTACACCGTCTATATAGACAGAGATAGCAGGCAACGATCATTGACAAGTAGGACATCGATTAGGTAATACAATATCACCCTTGATATTAGCTAGCATACAATTATCTATATGAAAACTCTCCTTTAATAGGTAGGCGCATCATTCCAAAACACAAAAGTTACATTCATATCTAATTATTATTATTGCATAATATACGTAGAAACATAATTATATTCTTTTAACACTATACATATGTGTAGGTACACATATTAGACAAATGCACACACACACATACATTAGACGCATTATATACCGAAATACAGGAAAGAATCTTTACTTTCTATATGGTTTATATAAATATTTTAAAGAGAGCATCGTGTCTCAGTGATATGGACCTATAAACCACAAATGTTGAAATGTTGTGAGTTCGAATCAGGTTGTGTGCGAATTCATCAGTGATCGTAAATACTCATAACAAACCAAATTAACATAAAAATAAATAAAAATCAGCTTTAAATAAAACTCTTTTATATAATAGGTACCCCACTTGAACTAGTAGATAAATTTTGTAATTTTGAGTACTTCTTTTGGATCACGTAACAAAGAAAATAAAAATGCTTTTTCAATTATTTCCATTGCAATATGTGCGGGTCAACGACATTTAAAACTATTAAAACTTCAAATCGATAGCATTAATAAGTTGCTAAGATATAGCGCTGTGACAGACGGATGGACAAACGCATAAAGTCGCACAGTAAGGGTTTTGAATATTTTTGGTACGAAATCCTAAAAACGACTTCAATCACAGTAAAGCTAGTTTTTTTTTTAATCAAATACTAAACAGCTGAACCGATTTTGAGAGAATTTTATGGAACCAATGTGAAACTATATCTTTTCAGATATTAAAGAACTTTCCAAATTGGTTTATACTCGTAAATGAGATGTTATGATATAACAAGCTTAAAAAAATGCAAACGAATTGTAGCCTTTTTTTTAATATATTAAAAATACCTAATGTTTCTATATCAATTTGTAATTAATGAACCAAATAGCAAATTAAAAATATTGTTATAAAATAAATTTTAAATTATTGTTTACCGGCGTATTTTTTAATTTTAGCCACAAAGTCCAAATAGAACTACAAAATTTTTAGATTCGAAAATGACGGATACCTCCAAACTTCTTACGAAATAATTTTTCACGACTACTAAAATATTTCTTATAATATTTCTTAGCTTTTGACCAAAAGCCTAAGTACAAAATTTTAAGATCGCACAAATACAATACAGAGTATCGATACTTAACATTAGTTGTAAGTAAATCCATTGTTCGTTTAGTACGAGTAGCATTAAATTTGAAAGGGTTTTTATTACAGTATTGCGAATTACTTGACAAATGAATTAGCAATAACAAATTATTAACATTTAATCTGCTGGCAAAATGTACGAGATTAACAAATTCAGGTCAGTCGATTGATACATCTAAATTATTCTATAATTAGCTTACAGACTTCGTGATTATGATGAAACTTAGAAAAAAGCAAAACTTATTTTCTTATAGTTCGCAATATTATAGACAAGTTAAATTCATTTTAAGAAATCTAAATGCAGGAAAAATCTAACCCTTATATTTTAAATATTTTTAGATAACTGGTGTCACTAATGTACAATCTTAGGATACGATATTTTATAAAATATTAGGTATGTATTTTTTATTTTGAGGTTAGACACATTGCCTTTGCATTCTGTATTCTGATAGTTGCGGTTTCTATACCTGCACTATATAAATATTTATATTCAATATAAAATGCAGACAAATACAAATAAATGTGCTCAATTGTTGTTATTATATACCATAATTATATTTATTAGCAATTTTATATATTAATTATTTTCTTAGCAATGCAGGACGGCCCCCACTAAATGAAGTGACGACCTCAGATGCATTGCAGGAGGTCATTGGATGCAGATTTTTTTTATACGACTTAGAATGGCAAACAAGCTGACGGCCCACCTGATGGAAAGTGGGAACCGTCGCCTATAGACATGAGCAGTACCATGGACACAACAGTACACACACATACTGTTTCGCCCATGATACCCCTTATGCGTTGCCATTCCTGAGGACTCAGATGTTATTCCTCTGTACCCTGTAAATTCACGCCATATCCCACCCTTCAAACCGAAACACAACTATGCAAACACAACTGCTTCAGTACAGTTTGTTTTTTGTACAGTACAGTACAGTACAGTTTGTCGTTTTGTACAGTTTACCCCTGGCTAATATAGTATTATATTGTCTGTATTTCTGATAAATGTGTACAGTATAGTTTAAAGCAATGAAACAAAATGTTTGTTGAAATTTCACCACAGCTCATTAAAAAAAGAAATTATTAATTGTGGTAGATACTATAATTGATCAGATCGCTGGGTTCGCGGTTTTATTTTGAGTTTGCGTGGATGGATTATGCTGCTCTTATATTCTGTGGTGTTATTATATACTTATTTTGGCAATAATAAGTTAACTTGTTGTTGAAATTTGGCATAAATTTTATTAATACAATTAAATAAACTTTCAAGGGAAGAAATAACGCCAAGTGTTAATTTTGAGGTAAAGGAACAGATGATGTTTAACCATCGCTTTAAGTTTGAATATTCATGAAGTGATTTAAAAGTGCTTACTTCACTTTCAGCTACGCTTAAATATCTAAAATTGCATAACTTAAATCAATGGATTTTAAAGTGGTACACTAAGAAATAGGAAAACAATAGTCTGATTAATGTATAAATGATTTAATATATTTTAAGTTTTTAATCAATAAAAACAATATATTACATATGACAATATTTCAACAAATATTATTTAATATGTACTTAATATTTATAAATTATTTATTATTAGGTATATGAATGCACAGCACATATTTATATGCATATATATGCATAGCAGTATGCATTCACAGCTATGGAATTTTTTCAATCGCATTTTAACAATACATTTGTTCGATTTTACTAAAATCTTTATATTATGCGCTATATCGTAGACTGGAGGGGTCAAGTTGTATTTACAGTTGACTCAACTAAATGTGATAAAACACACTAGTTTTCAATATAATTTAATTCAATTCAATCATTTATTGCATTTTTTATATTGTAACAATATAGATCTTAACCATTAGAGGTACAACATCAACATGAATCCTATAAGTACATATGCCACTTATATTAATAAATGCTTGTTATATATAATATATAGCTTCATTTTTATACATATACAGTTATTCTCATTAAAACAAATAAAATTGTATATCAATTACCACACTGAAAATTTTTTGGAGTGAATAATGCAATTAAATATTTTTTAAAGCTATTTTAATTTTTTTATAATTTATATTAGTGGGATTTTATTGTAAATTTTAATTGACATTGCGTGAAGCCCGGTATGGTACAGTTGTAATTTCGAGAATGAATCTCTGAGAGTCGGTATATTGTGTGATTAGGAGCATATATTTGTTAAACTATTATTTCTGTCGCTATTATTTAATGCGACAACCTTCTTATCTATGTTTTATTAACTATATTATATATTTGCTGTTTTTTTATAATTTTTGTAATATATATTTATATTTTTATAATATATATGTCATAATACATAAATCTTTGTATATTCAACTAATTGTGTTCATTACTAGTTCAGGTGTATCGTTCCATTTTTTCCTCAATTTCTGAATGTACTTTGTGAACAGAGTTAAAATTTTATTTTTAACAAAGTATAATTTGCATGTTTTCTTCTTATTTATATTAACGAATATTCTGAGACATGGTTTTTTCGTAATTTAAATACAACAACATTTTATTATTTTCTCAGGATAACATACCGTACTAGAGCAAAGAGTGGGCATATGCATAATAGCACACACTACTCTCTTAGTATCAGAAGATATCTTTAGTTGGTGTAGTGCATAAGTGAATCAGGACAACTATGTAGCCCCACCAAGTTTTTATGTTACTCTAATATCTATTTGACTATAAAATTTTGTTGAAGTTTATTTAACATGTCGTCCAAACAGATTGACATTAAGATAAATAATCATATACTTATATGTAAACAGTGTAGTAAATTAACAACAAAAATATAGAATATTATTTATTTTTTATTAATTTATTTAAAATAATGCACAATTATATAAGTAAGTGTACATATGGAGGACATAACACCTAATGGCGTTCTCTACCAGTCAACCATGAGGCAAGTAGAAAATTCAGTAAGCGGTGCATTTACTACTCAAATACATATAAATATTATATTTTCAATCACTTGTATCTATTGTTGCTAATCTATATAAATAAAACACCGGTCATATGCGAGATGAACTCACACGCCGAGGGTTCCATATATAAATAAATATGACATAAAATTATCTTTATTGCATTTCTTGTGTGAAATGGACGCTATGTTTTTATAAATATTGGCGTGTCATATGTAGACATTCTCATCAGGTGGGGCAGGCGGCGGACTATATGCTTACCTGTTACTGTTCTTGCATTTAGAAATTCAGAAATTCGTCAATAATTACCTAACAAAAAATTTTAGACAGAATTTGATCAATTGCTTAATTAGAATAATATCAAAGGGTAATATGGATACGATTCGAATGTATTTTTTTTTTATTATATATATATATATATATATATATATATATATATATATATATATATATATATAATATAATATATAAATATTCTCGTGTCACGGTGTTTGTAACCAAGTTGGTAACCAAACTCCTCCGAAACGGCTTTACCGATTTTTATGAAATTTTGTGTGCATATCGGGTAGGTCTGAGAATCGGCCAACATCTATTTTTCATACCCGTCAATGATAAGGGTGACCCACGAACCCATCCCAAAATATTTTTTTAAATTTCTTTGACAATTTTTTTTATTTTTATTTTATTATAATTTAGCATTGAAAAATATATACAACTTTAAATTTTTATCGTTTTACGATCAACCCCTGTATTTTAATCGCGATTTTTATATTTCGCAATAAGTGGTAAAACAACGTTTACGGGGTCAGCTAGTATATATATAAGAGTGGTGAACTATTAACATTATTGACATTTGTGCATTGTTGATTTTTGAGTCAATCATTGTTTATTGTGTTGTGATGCTGCGGAAAATAACCGACAACGATCTGTATTTAGGATATATTTCACTATGACTTTTATATCATCTATTTTAAAATGGAAAATTAAAAAATAAAATTAATTTATGAAGAGTTCTATGACACGAGTGACGAGGCGCATTCAGCTGACATAATGAAGTGGATTCGAGGGCGGGCGAGTGTACACGTAGGTATCATAGGCCGCGCGGCCGGCAACGACGACCAACTGCTGCGAGGTTGCATACCACAGATATAGACGTGTACTGCGTAAAGTGATGAGCGGAAGCGGACGGTGATAGCGATAAATCTAGCACTGTGTTTCCATTAAACATACAGCACGTACTGACGTGAAGGATTCACGTCAATAATGCCATTATTTTGACATGTAGACAGATAGATGTCACCATAGCGTATCCATTCACGATTTTGAACTCCTATCCTCCATTTATCGATCTTTTTTATACAATTTGAAATTACAAACAAGCTGACGAAATACTTATCAAATGTGAAAACTTTCGCCTTTACACATGAGCACATAGTACTTCCTATACATATCTGAACGTTACTCAGCACTGACAGGTATTATGTCATACTTGTAACCGAAACATTATGATGCAAGCATAATTACTTGATAGCAAGAACAATTAAGAACATGAGTATGACAGCTAGGAATATGCAGGCGACTTATTATAATTAATATAAATTCTGTGTTTATATTGTATTTAAATACATAATTTACAAGAAATGTTAAATCGCTTATCTCATGCAATAACGTGGTACCTTTTTGATTCGCCATTCGCGGCTGTTCGCAATGCCTTCAATCGCGCCACCCCGCAAGCCGCCGCCGCGCGTCTCACCACCCGCCCTCTTGACTCGACCAAGTAGAGTGGTGGTTGCGTTGTCGTCGAGTCAGCCGGAGGCCGCCGCGGCGCTGACACCGCAGCATTTCCACATCTATTGACAATATTAATTCCGGATATCAATTATTACGATCGGTCTAATAATAATAAAGAGTAGGCATCGGTCTAAAAATGGACGTGGAAGAGTTCCGAGTACGGGGTAAAGAAATGGTGGATTATATTTGCACGTATATGACCACGCTGCGTACGCGGCGGGTTACTCCGTCTGTGGAACCGGGATACCTGCGGGCAGCGTTGCCGGCCGAAGCGCCCCATCATCCCGAGAATTGGGATGACGTGATGGACGATGTAGAGAATAAAATCATGCCAGGAGTCACCCATTGGCAGCACCCACGATTTCATGCATACTTCCCGTCGGGCAACGGCTATCCGTCCATCCTTGGGGATATGCTGTCAGCTGGCATCGGATGCATCGGATTCTCATGGGTAAATTCTATTTTACAAGTAACGTTCCTACCTTATTTATAAATATTTATTTTACTTTAGTTACAGTCTTATAACATTTCTTTTTCAATTCTAATATTATTTTTCATTCAAAATTTTATATTAAATTGTATATACGTCCATGGGCTTCAAAAAATAAAAAAAATATCACTACTTCTTCTATTTTGGGTACTTTGTACAAAAGTAAATTTGTAAATATTTGAGTACATCTGTCCCACTCGTATTTCGGCCGCAGTTAAGCTTGTATGACTGTATTTCGGTTTCAATTACAACGGAGGCACAATATCTTAGTTCTCAGGAATGGCAATGTATGAGCGGTACCATGGGCGTCACAGTGTGTTTTGTCGTCGTTCATGCTGCTGATGTTATTTAGGCGACGGTTACCACTTTCCAGGAGATGGGTTGTCAGCTTCTTTTCTTTCTAAGTATCATAAAAAAATTTGGACCGATTATGATTTTTCTTAATGCAATCAATAAGGTTTAATCTAATTTTGGTTTCTAATTCATTTTATTACGATTAACGTGGCTAATTTTCATCTTTAAAAAAATATGTTATAAAAATAATAATTTATATTATATTATTATTATTTTTGTATTAGTTATAGCGTGAATCAGTACATAAAGTTTTTATGTTCTAAGTTCGGATATAACACATCCGTGTAGTAAATTTCATTCAAATAGGTTCAGCAATTTTTACGTGAAAGAGTAACAAACTTTCGTCTTTCCAAACTTTATTTATTACATTAATAGGATGGTAAGAGTATAATTATGTTTTGTTTTTACAATTTTTCTCTAGTTTTACATTATATTCGTCTTCATTTATATGTAAAGAATCTGTAGCAGTTTACCAAATGTCTATGTAGGTTTCAGAAATCTACATCTGATTTGAATTATCAGGAAGTTTTTTAATAATATTATAAATATGAGTAATATATTTATTATTTTATAAGATAAGTATCATAAATTAATAATTTTGTCATACACGACCCCGACTAACCGACTGCAAACGTCATCATCAAAACGTCACATTTCGAATGTGACCGAAGTCAAAAGCTTTGTGTCAATTAAAATTTCTGATTAGTTAACTCTCCAGAGATAAAAAACAACTGAATTCCAATACATGCTCTATCCAATATATCCGATGAAATGTAAGCTTGTCAACTATTAATGGAGAGCATACATTTTTTTCTGTTTATTCATAAATTGAAAAATTCTTCTAATTGCCACTATTTAGGAAATTGTATTATGAAGTTCGATGTAGTGCAGGTTCTATTGTCCTACAACAAACTGGGGTCTACAGACGGCAATATCGAGCTTCAAATACATACGACGAGATATATGCCAGCTCTGTATGTCACTGAACAAAGCAACAACATTTTTTTTATAGAAAGTTACATGATCAGCTAGTAACATAATCTTTTAAAAAAAAATCTACCTACCTGAGCTCTTAATAAAATTAAATACTCAACACTTTTAAATAAAATTGAGCAGCACATAGGTACTTTTTTAAAATATAGCCAACCAGTTTTTACCATGATTTCATTCATGTGACCAAAATAAAAGGTGCTATCTTTTAGTACCTACCTCTTTCTTCATCCTATCCAAATTCTGTATACATAAAAGTACTATTTATACATGTATACGTACATATCTATTAGGCTTATGCATAATGCACAGATAATATAATACTATCATAATGTAATGACGATTTATTAAACCGTAAAATACAACAATATAATTGCTAGATGATTGTGTAAGTACATCGTCATATAAAAGCTAAAACTTGTATACGAAATGACAATATTTTCTTTGTAAAGTGAATAATAATAGTACATTCGTTCATTGTTTAAAATACATAAAATAGTAGGTAAGTAATTACATACAAATTACTGACCTTATGTGACCTGATGTGTATCTATTAAACTGAAAAAAGTCACAATAAAAAAACATACTATGAAAAAATAACAGAAAGAGTTTCAAAACCTTTAACTGAAAGTAGTAATATATAAAATAAACTAATAAATTAAAATATAAGAAATTATCATATTTCTTGTCTTTATTGTATATAATATAATTTATCGCACTCGAGGAAAAGGGATAGTTGAGGTGTAACGGCCCTATTACTAGGTTTTTTTTAATGGGTGATAATAGAATAGTAACTCCATCCGCGCTATCGGTATACACCAGCGGGGCACCAGTGAAGGATGATAGGTGAGGATGAAGCAAGCCAGTTAGACCATCGTGGCGAATTCAATAAGAATTTTTCATGATGGTTTCCAGGGGAAACCACGTGGAGGTCGACGTAATAAGGCATATTGCTAGCAATGGGACTGTCAAACTCCATTGCTAACAATCTCCCTCCCTCCCCCTCATTACTAGGTTACTTTCGGCGTGGTCATCCTTAAAAATAATCCCCGTTGATTCTGGACCACCTGACCTGACTTCGTCACTAGTACACAGCTATGGTATAACGATAGTGCAAGCCACCCGGCTTGCGCCCCCATTTACATCTTATTAAAAACAAATTATCTTCATCCGGACTATAATAACGAATCGATTGATATAACAGTCATCAAAATCGGATGAGTAATTTAGGAGTTACAATGGAATATATCTAAAAATCAAACACATAAACTGCTAACTCATATAAAAGTTTTAAGGAGCTATAGGAATTTTGAATAATTTCAAAGTAACAATGAGGACTTGATAATGATGGAAGTTAATCTATCTAGTTTTCTATTAGCCTTCACGCAAATGAAATTTCATTAAATACTTCGAAATGGTATTTATAGATAAGAAATCATTTATTGAACATAAAACCTTTTTTATTTCATTCTTAATCAATACAGTATCATGAAATTAATCAAGTATAAATAACCGCTGATAGCTCTAATTTATTTTTCAACCTTTTGACAAATGAATGAAACAGACTTTTTCAATATATCATTTGCTGTGAGTTCTTACAAATTAGTGATATAAACCTATTCACTTTCCCATTTAGCCTGCTTGCTCCATTGTAGATGAATATGAATGAAGAAAAAGGGTTAGATTAAAATATGAAATTGTTTTCATAATTTAAATTAATTTCAATTTTAATAAATGCAACTACATATTTATACTATGACTGTCTAAAATATTGAAACATAAAATAAAAGTATATGTTATAAAATTAATACAATGGTTGCATAGATTTCATACAAATTTTTTAAGTGGCGTAGCCTGAGACTTATCCTTTATCCTAATTCATGTAGGTATGTATACTGAGAGATGCAAGATACAATTTATATTCTATACGTACTTAGAATCATTCTCGGGAAAACAAATTTCCATTTAGAGTACCTAAAGATTTCATCCATATATAATTTTTTTTTAATATTCATATTATTTTATTAAAATGTTTTACAGACATGATTGAACCATTTCTGAAGATATGGACATGAGCTTGAAATTACAGGTATATAAGTCGCAATAATGGATGATGGAAAAAGAAATCACAATAATATGATGTGTCAATTTCTTTTTGACCTTATTTATTAGTTTAGTGTGTTAATGGTGATTAGTGTTATCGGTTAATCGATAATTTAAATTGAAACTCGTTTTATTGTCGGCCAGGGTTGAACCTACGATCTTAGTCTAACAACCTGATTTATAAAAGGTCAAATGTCATATTAATCATAGCCGTAGATAGAGAAAAGTATCTTTAGGTTCAGCGGAGCCCAATAAACCACATACAAGACTGTGATTGTGATTTATTAGGTTCCGATGCGCACAAAATTTCCCAATTCTTGCCACTCTACCTTCTATAAGTACTATTATATTATTATAAACATATATACCGACGTATATCAGTGGTAGATTTTTGGAACTTGCCTTAGTATGTATTTCTTTTATGAAACAATAGTGTCATTCCGTTTAAATATTAATCATTAGCTGAACCTATTCATGAAGCTAGGACCAGAAGTCAATACACTCAGCTACGAGCATATCTTTCCTATTCTTAATAAAACCGTTTAAAAAGTAGTGCTTGATAGGGCGACAATATTATAAGAAAAACAATGTGGCCGATTATTAGGTGCTATTTCTCTAGACATACTTCTAAAATTAAAATTTCTATTTGATATCACAGCAAATTTTTTATTATAAGGACTAATATGAACTAAATTTGTAATATATTTAGATCAAAATTATTATGAATTTAGTTTACAACAGTGAGTAAAATAATAATTTCGCGAAACTATCAAATTAATATAATATTTTTATATTTAGTTTAGAAGCAAAATATGGTCTAACCAATAGGGTTCCATTAGTAGTTTTCCATTATTGAAAAGTCTTATAGAAGTTTAGAATAATTTCTAACAATATATAAAATTAAATTTATTCCTCCATATTTTCCCTCATGTCTTAAAGCTTTATCTGTCTAACAACATATATATTTAAATGTTACGGGCTGGTTTTTATTTGGTTAGAAAGTTACATTCCTAATACATACTTCGCTCCTTTGAATGTTCTCTTTGTATTTCTCATTGCCTCACAAATTATAAGAAATCTGTGAAGTAAGAAGATATTTAATAATTCAGTAAAATAGTTTACTGTTCTCAAAGAGTTCAACTTTTGAGTTTTTCGAAGAAATGTTTGAGAACTGATGTACCTATAAGCGTACTAGTATCATAAGAATTAATATTATGCTATTATTTGACTAATAAATCTACAAATACTGATTACAGAATTATTGTGATATATATTATATTCAAAATGTAAATTTTATTATATAATAAAAAGAAGAGAATAATAAATTATTTCAGCATGGTGCAACAGTAAAAAAACGGCGTCAATCTTTGCCTGTGTACATTGATTTAATTATCTGAATGATGCAGATGGTCGTTCATCATGATAACAGATAGTACCTATATAGTATTATTTTTGATTATCATTACATAATTTGTTATAAATAAATTACTTTCTCTCTAATTGAATTGAGTTGGCTGGAATAGATCTTTTTTAAAGATAAGTCCACCCTTGTTAACAAGTTGGTAAACTAATCGCTGTATCTTTTGTTCAAGTACAAAAAGAATATACTTATATATAAATTTTGTATTATATTTCCACAAAATAATGAGTGTGTATGATATACAGTGCCTAAGAATAATTCCTTTTGACATCCATTCTTCCAGGACATGCAGTTCACAGCAACTATTGGTTTATATACATTATTATGTATAAAAATCTACAAGCATTTGACCAAGCAGCTTGTAATTCAGTTCGAAACAGATTCTATAATAGAGTCGTTCTTTGATATTTTGATATCTAGTGACTAGAGGCTATATGTTTAACAGCCATTACACCGTAGCACAGCCATAACACAGGTCCGTCACTAAATAAGAGCATTTTTAGATTATGGTTCCAGTTCTGCTTACAAATGCTTCAATGCTCAAATTTGTAGCGACAGAGTCGAGAGCAATTCTTCTCATCCAATGCATACAAATAAGTTAAATATTCAACTGAAATATTTATTATTAGCATAGTACAATGAAGAAAGAACAGAATATCTAACTGCCTAACTATCTATATTTATATACACCTAATCACTACTATTATGCGGAAATACACACATGACAAACATTCTGGTTCAATCTCTGAAACAAAAGGTAAACCTTTATTTCCAAAGTGTTTATAACGTCATTAATTCGTTACTGTGATACGATTTTCCATTAGACTATAGCCTGTTTATGACGGTATAAAATAAAAAATGCAGCTGTTGGATTCTCAACAATCGAGCTCGTCTCTTCATGCGATTTTTTTTGCAGTTTTATTATCAACCTTCATTATCATCATATCACCCTTTAACTGTTCACTGCTGAATATAAGCCTCTCGCTTGGGGGTTTTGCCAGTAGTTGTCACACTTGGCAGGCGGATTGGCAACCGCAGTCAGGCTTTAGAAATGTTTTACGAGAGACGCTGTTACCTATCCCTCGCCTTCTCTTAGTCGGCTTTTACGACACCCACAGGAAAGGAACGGGTAGCCTATTCTGTCGGGACCACACGGCCATTGTATTATCAATTAAATTTATCAAATATAACAATTATTAAATTTTATCTGTTCGGTAGATCACATTACGTTTTAAATCCAATTTTTGTTACAATGTCAAATTAGAATAACGTAGACAGTAGACAGTACCAAAGTATCTACAACGTCAATGACCCGTACAAATTGCAAGATATTGATTGTATTAAATGACTATACTATGCGCCGGAATAAGTACGTTATACTAAGTCTATAGCCGGGTTAAAAGACTCACTTGACAGATGACAAATTGGTGCATAATTTCTCAAATAAATAACCAATTTGATACCTTTTTTATTTTAAATCATTAACCTGCATTTCCACTAAATACCTACCTACTTACTGACTTATTGTTACATAATAGTTTATACATTATAATCAATCAATATATTTTTTGCTTGCAACCATTTCCACCAAAATAGGTACATATTGCAATCACAACATAGGTATTAGTGACTTATACTTTACTTGAAAAATGTGATTAGATTAGTATCTAGTACTTTATTGTAAGGAACTCAATGCACATGAATGTGTAAATGAAAATTTATTTTATTTAAGTATTTATTTAGTTGTATATTTAAAACCGAATTCTGAGTATTATATGAATAGGAATAGTAGATACATACTAGTAGTAAATGCTCTGTTTTGTCTCAGTTTTCATTCTTGGTAACATATTTGACCACCGTCAATAAAGCCTCTTTTACAAAAAAAAAAAAACAGGTGCTTACTTACATTTTTTAGTTACAACATTATTTAAATAATTTAATCTTATTTTTTTTAAACGTGCATAAACTGCAAATAATACAAACAACTATAATAAAATACCTACAATAAATGAAAATAAAAATTCAATAATTATCGTGTCAGTCAATCGGAAATATTGACTACGTAACAAATAGAAACAACTGTAACATGATCATGTCTGCATGTACATGCACTAAATATACATACACATTAAGTATCGATTGAACATGAAAAGAAACTTTGTATATAAAATGTATGAACAATAATATATTGACTTTTTATGTAAGTAGTTTTTTTGATAACATGGAAAACAAATGTTTGGCTAACGGTCCACCAGATGATAAGTGATATCAAAGACTATGATGCTCATGGTAGGTACTTTTTTTTATGCAACTTAGAATGGCAAACAAGCTGACGGCCTACCTGATGGAAAGTGATAACCGTCGCTTATAGACATGAACAGTATCATTGGCATAATAGAGTATACTATTTCGCCGATGATACCCATGGGGTATCAACGTTAAATCTTCTTTACTACTTCTCATGCGTTGCCATTTCTGAACTCTAAAACATAAGTAATGTTTTCCTGCCATATTTCAGCGTTTAAACCGAAAGAGCCATATAATTACAGTTGCTTATAGCGACAGAAATACAAGTGCGGCATCCAAACAAACGATTTTTGTGTCTACAGTCTCCTGGTATTTTTATATTAGGTAATATGTAGTATTCACCTATGTTAAGTATGTTTATTATACACAGAGTTAGCAAGAGAACTTTGTATCTATAAGTGCAAGGAACTTTGTGTAGATGGGCTTGTTTAAATTGATTCTCAGTCGAGCCAATTTCAAAACTGATTTTTTTTAATTGCTTCGAGTCTGATTATTCCGGTTTTACTCCTGATAATGTATTATTATTTTATAATATAACTAGATTTAGTACCCAGAAAGTATTCTTGTATATACTGTGGTAATATTTAATAAAAAATACTATGCTAATTTAATTGAAAATTAACATATTTATTGTTATATCTTTCAGTAAGTAAGGCTTTTAAATCGTTAAAGTAATTTGTAAATTAGACTTATTGTCAGTGGTGGAAAAGGTAAACAGCCTAGGTATCAGTTTTATGATATATTATCAAAACGGTTCTTTCCTTTTCAGGCGGCTAGTCCTGCCTGTACAGAGTTAGAAATCATCATGTTAGACTGGATGGGTAAGTAAACTTATAATTTCTTCTGACGAACCTCACAAATAAATTAATATCAATCAAGGATGGTCACAGGAAAGCTAGGGATCATAATCATAGTCCATTCATTCCTAATCTTTAAGTTACTGTGCCTAAGTACCCTCGGTTAGTTATTATTCGGCAAACCATTACAAAGTATGTAAGTGAATTTCTTAGCTGCAGATATGCAATGATCTGGTGATATGGTATCAATGGTGAGGTAAAAATGTGAATAGGCTTTTCGTGAGCCCGCGAATTCTATCTTAGACCACATCATCACTTTCGATCAAGTGAGTAATCAATCGTTGAAGGGCAACACTAAAAAATAAAAATGAAATCCCTTTCACACACTCATGTAGATTTTGTATTCTATATTTCTAATATATTTTTGTTCATTGCAGGTAAAGCGATTGGACTACCTCCGGCATTTTTAGCACTCGAGGAAGGTAGTAAAGGTGGAGGAGTAATAGAGGTAGGTATATGTTTAAAATATAATAGAAGATTCATGCATCCTATCGATCCGATATACAATAACACTATTAGTGAAACTGAACAACTTTCTCTAAAAAATATAATATAGGTATATATTTACATATATCTGATAAAAAGTAACTTGACCGTGTCTAAGCACGTATCACTCAAAAACTACTGGACGGATTTCGATTCGATGTAAACATGATAACTTAGTCTCTATATATAATGAAAGGAGACATTTTGTTTGAGATGTTGAAATATATAAAAAGAGAAACGGAGAAGTTTTATCGACTAGACAAAAAGATGACGAAAATTTTAAACCTTATAAAGATATAATTGTTATAACAAATCTGTGGAATTACGCAAAATAACCACATATATATCATATATATACACATAGATATCACATAATTTCTACTGTTCTATAATAATACGGGTTTATTACTAATTGGGAGCAGATATGGATGCCATTTTATTTTATTAGACTTAGAATGGCAAACATGCTGACGCTTTATCTTATGGAGAGTGGTAACCGTCATCTATAAATATTACTAGCTTTATGAATATCACAGAATAGATTGTGATGCCCATGCCCGTATGCGTTGTCTTTTGTAAGGACTTACAATGCGTGGTTTGAAGGCATAACAACCGTGTTAAGCATCCGTACCTGCAATTTCACTACCATGTCTCATTTTTCAAACAGAAACATAGCCATGCAAGCACAGATGCTTTATGGTAGAGACACGAAACAGAAGTATTTAAGTAGACAACTTTTGTATAAAGATTCCTTCTAGTATTTTTTTTTAAGTACGAACGAGAATTGATTATTAAGTAAATTACAAAAGAGTTATGTGCAGTAGGTAGTTATGAATATTTGTTCGTTATGTTTGATAGTAAATACATTAAAATAAAACGACGTTTCGCTTGATCTAGCAACAAGAGTGGGCGTATATTCCACGCACTGACCGCGGATTTGCATGATTGCTTATTTAAATAGTATTTATTTCTCAAGTATTGTACTAAAAATTATGGTTACATAAATTGTTTCAATCATTTAATCTTATTTTTTTTTAAATACTGACTTTAGTTTTGATAAAATTAATAGATATGGAATAAGCAAAGATGGAAAACTTCTTTATTAATAACTTACAGAGAAAATACCATAATGCCAAAGAAGTTATTTTTGTGGTTGTACTTATTAAGAAATTTATTATAGTCGGATTTAAAAAATATAGAAATGACTTTAAAACAAAAGCTTTATTAATAACATAGATGTCTACCTATATGTGTAGTACAGCAAGATTCGTAGATATCGAATACAAGATATGAAGGAACACTACATATGTACATATAGTTCTTATGAAAGTTAAAAAGATGTAAATTTCGGATATTTTTTTCATAGATGGAATACATGATGATGAATTCACAGCTAATATTTAAAATTATTTTTAGGGATCAGCGAGTGAATGCGTTCTTGTCTCGATGCTAGCAGCTCGAGCAAATGGCATCAAAAGATTAAAACATCAATTTCCAACTGTGGACGAGGGTCTGCTCCTCTCCAAACTTATAGCGTATTGTTCTAAGGAAGCTCACTCATGCGTCGAGAAGGCTGCAATGATATGTTTTGTTAAATTACGAATTTTGCAGCCTGACGAAAACGGGTCACTCAGAGGCGAAACATTGAAAGAAGTATGTATCTAAGTTTACTTTTAATCATAAAATTAGTTACGCTATTTTTTATTACCTTCACGGCCCCCATTCCATAACCTACCATTTTGGGGAGAGATCCATTTTCCATAACCCTATATCTTTCAATATGCATATACTTAAATTTATTAAACAAATTTTATGATGCTTTTCTACAAACTTGGTTTTTTATCCCAGTGCCTTATTCAAAACATTTGATTTTTGCTCAATATTTGTTATTGACATTAGAAAATTGGAATTCGTAAGATAGGATGCAGATAATTGGACGCTAAATGAATAGATGCTACGTGGTGTTAAAGCCCGAAGTCGAGCAGTTCCGAGGGCGCACGATGTCTGGCGCCGCTATCCTCCGCTTAATGACTCCGGCTTGGATGCCGGAAATACGTGGCGAGCCGAGCGGTAATGGACGGGCATTGTGTGCCATTTCTATGCCTCAAATATTGAAAATTGCGATACGATCCTCTTATGAGAAATCTTTAATTGCTGTCACCAAATGAAATAGAAAATTTTCTATATCAATTATAAAAGACAGCGTAGATACCTATATCGGATAAATTTAAAGGACTTGATGTTTTATAATAAATTAAATAATTGAAAGATCAGAAATCTCAGCATTTGGACATCGTAAAAATAAAAAATAAGAAGACAGTTTTCTTGTTGTAAATTGTGTCCGTCTTCTTCCTGTGTCTTGGTCATATTAATTTGTTTTGTCATAAGCAGTTTTTGTCTGTCGAATGTCTTAGCGGCCAGTGAGAAACCCGATCAAGGAGGCGCAACAACAATCTAGATTTTTCTAAATGCTAAACCTGCATTTAGAATTATTTAAATACCTTTAGTCGAATTCCGTCGAGAGGTTATAAATTACTACCTAGTAATCAATCCCAGAACTAAGATCAACTGACCAGACTTTCCGTACCTATTTCGTCGTATAAACTAATAACACAAACAGTTACTATTTCATTTTTGTCCATGATCTATGCTTACACTTGCAATTTAAACTGTGACTATGGTTCAATCTATTTTACAATTTATATACTAATATACGATTTCCGTTACAGGCTATGGAAGAAGATGAAGAAGCTGGACATGTGCCATTCTTTGTTTCTATTACATTAGGCACTACTTCGTGCTGTTCATTTGACAACTTGCCAGAGATAGGGCCTGTTGTAAGAAAATTCCCGTCGGTTTGGCTACATGTAGACGCCGCATATGCTGGCAGCTCTTTCCTTTGTCCAGAACATAAGCACCACTTAGCAGGGATCGAGTATGCAGATTCCTTCAACACTAATCCAAACAAACTGATGCTGACTAGTTTTGACTGTTCACTTTTGTGGGTCAATAATCGGTACCTGTTGACATCTGCGCTTGTCGTCGACCCTCTCTATCTCCAACATTGCTATGATCACACAGCGATTGATTATCGTCATTGGGGTGTGCCACTCAGTCGCCGTTTTAGATCACTAAAGCTTTGGTTCATGTTGAGAAGTTATGGAATCAGTGGTTTGCAAAAATACGTGCGTCGACATTGCGAATTGGCAAAATATTTCGAGCAACTTGTTAAAAAAGACGATAGGTTCGAAGTGTGTAATCAAGTAAAGGTATATATTTATTTTAATACATAATATACATCATGATATTAAAGTATATTTTATCTGTTAAGTAAATATGTATTTTTCATGATCCAGTTGGGTTTGGTATGTTTTCGTTTGGTTGGAGGACCAGATGAAACGGATGAGCAGATTGATGAGATGAACAAAAAGTTACTGACGAATATCAATGCGTCGGGAAAGATCCATATGGTGCCGGCATCAGTACGTGAACGATTTGTAATACGTTTTTGTGTGGTTCAGCAACACGCCACGCGGGAAGATATTGGTAATTTAACTTTTTTTTATTTTTAAAGAAATCTTTTAATAGTTTATGTGCCTAGGTATAAATTTGGTAAAGCGGTAAAAGTTCTGTCGGATAACGCGTGATTTCAGTCCATCAGAAGTCCTGGCATTGAATCTCAGCCCAATACTCTGAATTTTTAAATAGATTTATGGATTATTTCAAAAGGTTTGCAACTTGCTTAGTGCTTAAGAAGTTATGTTATGTAAAGTGGTTCTCCGGTAAGCCACACCAGAGGCCTTTGTTTTTTCGATTCATATACGTGATTACATATACGATTCATATAGTGATATGGATAATATGTAAATACGCATATACCTATTTTTACTAATGAAAGGGTATCATCGTGTAATATAGTATATACTAAGTACCTGCGTTAGATATATAGGTACCTAAGGCAGGTAGTTAGTATATACTACAAAATCGGTCTGTTTACTGATATTTTGTAATTTATTTATTTCAATGCATACACTATTTAGGTATTTTATATTTAACCTAAATATAAATATATGAAAGTTCTCAATTCGACTATTTTTTATGTGTGGGTGTGTGTGTGTTACGCGATATCAATTTAAGGTAATGTCTTTGTAAATTTTGTACCGTTTTACTGCAATATTAATCCTACTAAGTTATTTAAAATATTTTATATTTTTTTATGACTTGATGGAAAGTGGTAACCGTCGCTTATAGACATAAAGTTATGTTTTAGAAATAATAATTCTTATTACTCTTAAAATAATAATTAAATTAATTATTATTGTATTTTATTATTATTGAAAGAATTATAATTGAATTGAACTTTATTTGCAGAAATAGCATGGGACATTATAACAGAATTCGCTACCGAACTTTTGGAAGGACCAGATAAAGAACGGGTAAGTTTAAAAAATATTTTATCATAACCATATGATTCCAGATCCTTGCAATATTTAACAGAATACAAATAATTGTTTAAACTATTTTTTGCAGGATTTGAACGAAGAGCGCGCTCGAAGACACCGTGCCGCTTTGGCGCACAAGCGTTCATTCTTCGTACGCATGGTGAGCGACCCCAAGATCTACAACCCGGCCATAAACAAGACACCGCCGCCGGCGCCTACTTCTCCCTCCTCCCCTCCACCCGCTGTGCCCACCACGCCTGACACGCCTGACTCGGAACTACAACCACCGACACCGTTAGTATATCATTATCATGTTTACCTTCTGTTCTCATGTGTGTGTATGAGGGAAGGATTATTAGTAATGTAGACTTTGCTATTGGATCGGTTTCCACGTGGTCCTCCTTGGGAACCATCGTGGTTAATTCCTGGAGAATTTATCAGAATGGGCCAACCTGTCAGTACCATACTTATTGCTACTTGAGGCGAAGAAATAATAAGATATATATGAACGTATACCGACCGATAGCACAAAAGACCATTTCATTAAAAAACTTTTTTAATAGGATAACTAAAAAAACTATTGTCCACTGCTGAATATCTCCCACATAGAAGTTTTCAATCGCTTGTATTCATATAGTCTGTGCAACATTTCTGCTGTCGGTGCACCATCTTGTGGGGGTCACTGATGGTCGGTCGTTACTGCGTTTCCCTCTAACGAGTTACCATCCGAAAATGTTTCGTCATAGTCGTAGAATACTGACGGATCTGACAAAGATTACATATAAAGATCAGTATTCTACGACTATGACGATTTCTTCCCTACCTATTACCGGTTACTTAAATACTTACCTGTTTGTAACGTGATTTTCAGAAAACAATCTTCTTGGATAAGCTGGCCACTAGCGTTCTTCTTCCAGAGCGTTGATCACGATCCGAATGATTTACCATTAAGGTAACTCTTACTATATTAAACCGTGGTAGATACTTAAAATAAGAAACAGCTACACTATACACCTATCCCCCGATTTACCCGGTAGATACGTTCCTGAGAAAAACGTGTAAATCGAAAATTTAAAATTTTCAAGTCAAAACCGTGTAAATCGAAAAGCTTGCAGAAAATGCATAATTTTGCTATTTAACAGTTGTGATTTTTTTCAATATTTTTAGGTGTACATAGAAATAAAAATAAAAATTTTCATTTGTTCTAATAGTTCTTATTGTAGCTTCGTTCATGTTATATGATTTTGCAACATCTACTACTCTATCTCCCTTTCGTAAGCGATCCAAAATTTCGATTTTAGTTTCTAAAGTAATAACTTTTCTTTTAACTTCTTTCGACATTATAAGCCTATAATTTTTTTTTTATTTATGTTAATTTATAAAAATCATAATTATGCACTCACTTGTAATTTACGAATATGAAAAATTAAATCTTTCGGACACTGTGAAACTTTCACTCAAATACAATTTTCCGTAGATAAAACTTTAATTTTATGCGAAGAAATACAGACACACTGTGCATGTGCAGCAAGTCAGCACATAGGCTCGGGATTCCCCGTGAGATGTTTACACAGCGCACGTGTTCAAACACAGTAGCATTTAGTAGAGTGCGATAAAAAAAAAAAACTTATTTGGAAAACCGTGTAAAAGCGAAAACGTGTAAAACAAGTACCGTGTAAATCGGGGGATAGGTGTAGTTATATATATACAATTTGTTTTTCATACTTTATATATATATATAACTTTTTAAAATACTGTTGAAACGAAAGTAATTATTTTGATATCGGTTAATTTATTAGTTAGTTATTATTAGGGACAGATGTTACAGTGGTTAGGCAACCACTGTAACTATAACATCGCATTTGGATTTTTGACTGTAGTCCGGGTATTTCAGTAACAAATTCTAATTCAAAAACATATTTTATCCAATCCTAAACCTAAGGCAATGAAGGTGGCCTAGGAATTCTTAACAAAGGAGGATATTATAGTTACAGTACAGAAAAATTATAATTTCATATTCTACCTACAGATTCCGTCATTTGGATACCATGGTGCGTCTGAAAAGTCCTGGGGCTTCTAGTCGGCGCAGCTCGTCGCCATGCGCTTCGCCCGAACGTCGCGCGCCCTCGCCCTCCGCACACTGATCGACCAATTATAATACATTACAGACCATACGATGTTCTAACCAATATTTCCTAAGCATTCAATGTCTTCATTAAAAATTGTATAAATACATGTATGTGTTTTAAATCTGACCAGAAACAAATCCTACCATACAAAATATATAGGTAGGTAATTTAATTGTTATTGTACAGAAGCTTAACCAGAGTCCTAAAAATCTTCTCTATAGTATTAAAGAAGAATATCTGAGATTCAAACTTTCTACGTGTAGTTATTGTTTACAGATGTGATTTGTCATAGTGTTTTATATTAACTAATGACTAGATATGTTATCTGTTAGTATAGAAAGTTCAAAAGCGTAAAAATCGTTATTCCATGGTCAGAAACAACGCTCTCAAGAACTAAGGGAATGAACTACTGCGACTCAGAAAAAGTAGGTACTATCACACGTATTCTTTGCAAAATATTTCTGACACTTAGTCGATATAATACAGAAATAGCAGATACTCAAAGATAACCAACCTACCTAAATATTAACTCAATTGTAAATGTATCTAGTAAAGATTTTTAGTTTTCTAGTCGGGTTTTATATCAAACTTATTAACAATCATAAATAAAACAAATAAAATGGTGGGACGATTAATTTATTGTTAAGAAAATATATATTTGCAAAAAAGGCTCTGTTAATCCCAGACTATATTGTGTGTTTGTATTTCTCCATCCCATCCTAATGTGTGTAGTACATTGTCTTCTTTAACATCCCATGCCATTCCTCTTACATAATTCTTATGCATATGTCTATCATGGTAAACTACTTTGATTTTATCATCTTCACTTATTGAACATACTGATACTATTTTATTATCACAGCATATACCCATTTTATGAGATCTGCAAATAAAAACAGTTTAAGTACATTAGTAATTTAATTACCTATACCTCTTAATTGTCCAATTTTTTCAAATCAAATTTTATGTCGTTTATAAAAAAATAATACAATCTTTGGTTTACTAGTGGAAATAATAATAAATGAATCGACCAAGTTAGGCACTTGATGCAGGGTATATTTTTAAAACGAACAAGACCTTTTCAGTATTATGAAATTTACGCGTTATTTATGGCACCGCTCATATATTGCTACTCTTAGGACTAACTATTTTACCACACCAGTATAACAACCCTTTAACGTTCCATTGTTGTGCAGAAGTCTCCCCATGCAAAATAGTTGTTACTATTCCTACATTAGTTGGGCAGTTTAGTATATTTATGACACCATATTCAGTGTATATTCGGTTGTGGATTATCCGTGACACGATCGGTCTTTGCATTTGCACCCGGCGTCCTTTCGGTTGACAACACACCGATTTTCCCTCAATATCGCATTTTTTTTTATATAGAACTTAGAATGGCAAACAAGCGGAAAGTTTCGCCTATAGACATGAGCAGTACCATGGACATAACAGAGTATCGTTTCGCCCATTGTTGCCATTCCTGAGGACTCAGGTGTTATTCCTCTGTACCCAGTAAATTCACGCCATATCCCACCCTTCAAACCGAAACACAGCATTGTGTTCCCTATTATACTCGTTTCGGCGGATGGTCCGCGATGTCTTCATGTTGGTAGGTATTAATGCGCTGAATATGGTAGTAGTTTATGCTCATGCGATTAAAAAAAAATATAAACTTACTCTTTATGAGTAACCAACTTGTGAACAGCGGCTGGAAACTCCATTAATTTTGTAGTATTTTGTGGATTTCTAGCATCAACTAAACTTAATACTCCAGCTTCGTCGCCAAATACTAGTTTATTATCATCAATCCATTGTAAGCAACGAACACCACAATTATTTTGTACTAAATCTAAAAAATATAACAAATAAATTAGTGTCAACAATAATCATACTCAAATCCTGCATACATGTCTTCATCTATTATTTGTTGAAATAAACTTTGTCAAAACTTCCTTAAATCTTGACAAAATTTTCCTTTGTTTAAGTATCATACTTACATGTGTGTATTACAGCATGCAATTATATGGATAATGACTAAACTAAAATGTATTTAAATGCCTAGAAGTTTAAAATGAAAATAAAAGAGTATTTTGTCCAAGACCAACAAATTTTGTCAGCTCAGACCATAACGCTAGTTTACTAAAAAGATAACTGATGCTACCTAGCTGCCTAGTTGGAGGACTGACCTGGTATGGAACACTAGGGGAGTTGAAATATCTTCTTTACATGATCACCCATTAACCTTTCATACACCCAGCTTATATGATCTTTGGTGAATTTTGTATAAGTAAACACAGTTGTACTAAATAATAGGTTATTAATCAGTAACATAAAATTCAGTCATTATTAGAATTTTTTTTTAGCACTTTATTTATTAATTTTGACGGTTACTATTTTCCATCAGGTGGGTCGTCAGCTTGTATGTCATTCTAGGTTGCATAGAAAAAAAAATAACTATATTTTTTAAATATATATAATTATTATAAAATATCACTTACCAAGAACTGGTTTGGATACATTCTCATCCCATAAAGTTATAGATTCATCTAATGATGCAGTTGCAAAATTATTATTGGAATTGAATTTCACAGATACACTACATATTGGCATGCTATGAGCGGCATTATAATTCCTTATACATAACATTTCATTTATGTCCCATATCTGTAATTCCAATTCTAGATTAACAATGACAAAATGATTAATGTTTGAATCTCAAATTTCACACTGTAACAAGATAATTTGATGTTCAGTCTTTAATGTGTTTATTAATAATAATTTATCTTTATTAGAATTTAACTGATCTAAATGAAGTTATAACATGTTCATAATGATACTTAATTATGAACACTTAATTTTTTTTTTATTTTAAATTTTTTAAAAGATTTCTAATGTTATATAAATAAAAATTGATAATTGACTACAAAATTATGATATACCCATACTGACTATAATAATCTATATGGTTTTAAGTATTTGTGCACTGAAAACAACAGAATATGCCATATGGCATTAAGCTCGCCATTTGTACATAATTTTATTGTGCAATAAAGAATAAATAAATAAATAAATATGATGGTATTACATCTATTACTACTTCTATCATCTTGTTATACCATATTCTAACAAATAAATATATAATTATTGCTATAGCAATGTTACAATTATTTATCAATTTTCAAAAACAAAATATATATAGATATACATGATAAAATATATAGTGAAGATAATCACAAAACATTAATTATCAGTTTGTTTACATTTTCATTAAGTTCTACTGGAACAGAATATAATAAAGTACAGTTATATAATTGTATTGTATATATAAACATATATTTAGTACCTTTATATTTCCATCACCTCCCACTGTGATATATTCTTTTTCAGGAACCAAACAACCAATAGCTAGTGCAGCATCATCATGTTCAGCAGCAGACACATCCTCATTCCAGAATTTCCATGCATCTTCAGAAGATGTTGACCATACACTAACTGCACCACTGTCTTCACATAATAATACCTACAAAATTTACATTCCTTTTTTTGCAATACAATAAAATAACATACTAAAATAAAATATAAATAGTGATTAATTAACAATAAAAAGAATTGTCATGGAATTAACACCATAATAAATTTATTATGCTAGATGACCTGGCAGGCGTTATCTTGTTCAAATTCCAATATATAAATGGCAACTTCTTCGAGTGCCATTATATGATGCATCTGCTACTTAAAAACTAATAGAACTTTGATGTGGTAGCTATTAAAAAATATCAAAACTCTTATTTTTGCCTAAACCTTAAAGAGACTGTATTAAAGCAATGCCAACTGCCACTGTTAGGTTGTGTTAAATACTTTCAGATAAAATTGATATTTTATAAAGTAGTTAAGAAATGTATTTCTAAGACCATTTAGTTACCCTTATACATTATTTTTGTTGGATTATTTATTTAAATAATTATTTAAGACATTGTGTGATAGAGAGTGAATAGATGCGAGTGACTTAAGATGATAATGATAATTAAAAAACATTTATTAATATCAGAACCTCACCTTCCCAGAATTACCGATAAAACATCCGTCTGCAGTACCACTTGTCAGATATATACTATTTTTTGTTTCACTAAGACATTTTTGACCTTCTTCAATAGTTTTATAAACGCTAGCACCACCGTTCCAGTAACGTCCAGTTAATTCTGAGCGTCCTACTAGCACGCTGCTGTCTGCAATAACAAAGAAAAGTGAATTACGTACATCCAATTTATGAGGAGAAACTAAAGATAAAGTATCACTAAAAATAAATATATAAATATTAACAATATATAAAGTTACCCTCGTGAATTTGAATATAATCTAAATAAGAGATTGTGCTGGTGCCGGTGGTATCTGTTCTGTAAACTTCAGCATTGAGGTGCGGCGGAACAATTTTATTGCTATTCTCCATATTTAAATTCTGGCACACTCCTTACAGTAATAAACGTATGTATAAAGTAATAATAATTTTAGTTTAAAAAATTCATTCGTTTGAGATAGCAAAATTCTAATGCATGTTCGATGATTATTGACAATTGATTTTTTGACAACGTTGACTAACATTTGTTCGTTTGGAATCAAAGACTAAGAATAATATAATATGACTTATACATGATTCTTAATTAAAAAAGAATTCCTTTTCCCAAGCACGAAACAATTGGTGTGAGCATGTTGGGTATGACTTCAATGTCGGTGTTTAATCCTAACAAACCTGAGACGTTACACTTTCAGGGCCTATTGAGGTCGATAGGTAGATAATATTATTTACAATGCCTTTAAATTTTTAATATTTTTCAAAAATAATACTTTTATAATTTTCTTAAATAAACATTTTACAGTTTTAATAATCTACTAGTCTTTGCCCCACGGCTTTGCTCACGTGTACACTGTACAAAATCTTAGTCAGGGAAGTCATATATTTTAAAAAAAAAATTATAGAAATGCACTAATCATGAGCGAGTTTCCGGCTAGCATTTGGCTGATTTTCGAGTGACTGTGACCACAGCCTTTTGTACAGTTATGAAGTAACTACATCAGTCCTACAATCGATAATATATAATATTTGCATGCTCTGTGGTTAGTGACAGTTGTTTATTGTTTTATGTCATGATTTAATTGACATAATAGGTTACACTTGTTATATTAGAAATATTAATATTATTTTAATTTTTAATAATAAGCTAATAATAAAAATACTTTTTATTGTATATATCAAGTTTTTAATTTGAAATTGACACTACTGATTCATTTTAAATAAAAGTGTTAATTTTTGACCAGGTTAGATTTTTGATTTATCTCATTTCAACCTGTAACTAATTTTGTCGTCTTTAGTTTTATCTTTTTGTCTTCATTGATTCCAATAAGAGACTACATATATTTGGTAAGTAATTTAGTTTTTTTATATTTTTTAAATAAGACATGAAATAGGTCGATCTGATATACTATTATCATCATAAAACAGGACAAAAATTTTATAAAATTATTGGTATTTTGGTAACAGAACTCCATGGCCAATTTAGAATTGTTACAAACATTACACGGCCATAAAGGTATTGTTTGGAATGTGGCATGGCATCCATTAGGAACAATATTTGCATCTTGTGGAGAAGATAAAACTATAAAGTTATGGAGCAAAGAAGGACAGGAATGGACTATAAAAACAGTTCTTGTAGATGGGCATCAACGCACTATTAGGGAAGTTGCGTGGTCTCCCTGTGGAAATTTTTTGGCATCGGCAAGTTTTGATGCCACTACTGCAATTTGGGATAAGAAAAGTGGTGCGTATAATAAATTTAAAGAATAATGAATAATATTTAATGAAATGAACCATTTATAAATTTTGTTATCATTTAATAGGTCAATTTGAATGTAATGCTACATTGGAAGGGCATGAAAATGAAGTAAAAAGTGTTGCTTGGTCACCATCAGGACAACTTTTAGCTACATGTGGCCGAGATAAATCAGTCTGGGTATGGGAAGTTGCAGGAGAAGATGAATATGAATGTGAATCAGTTCTGAATGCTCATAATCAAGATGTTAAAAAAGTTTGTTAAACCCTATATTTGTAATTCTGTTTGTGTTTTAATAAAATTACAGTTGATATAAAATATTCTATTTGTAGGTTGCTTGGCATCCTTCATTAGATATATTGGCTTCTGCATCTTATGACAACACTGTTAAAATGTATAAAGAAGACCCTGTAGATAATGATTGGACCTGTATTGCTACACTATGCTCCCATGAGTCCACTGTATGGAGTTTAGCTTTTGATAAGACTGGAGAACGCCTTGTTACTTGCAGTGATGATAGAACTGTCAAAATTTGGAAGGAATATAAACCTGATAACCAGGAAGGTGTAATAATCACAGATAAAGAATCAGTATGGAAATGTGTGTGTACATTATCAGGATATCACACACGTTGTGTGTATGATGTGGCATGGTGCCACCAAACAGGCTTAATAGCCACTGCATGTGGAGATGATATAATAAGGATTTTCAAGGAATCTGAAGACTCTGATCCTAATGCACCCACTTTTGAATTGATATGTACCAAACTGAATTCACATTCACAAGATGTCAATTGTGTTGCTTGGAATCCTATAGGAAATCAAGAACTGCTATCATCCAGTGATGATGGTGAAATAAGGATATGGAAGTTTTCTGATTAGTAGAGCCAAATTACAATGTAATCAATATAATTAAGAATCAAGTGATCAATACTTGTGTAAAAAATATGTTTCAAATCTTATATTGTTTTTGTTGTTTATAAACAGCTTTTCAACTTATATTGAATATTCTATTAGAGATTAGATACATATTAGAAATAAACAAATTGTTAAGCATAATGTATTTTATTTATAACATGTTATGTTTTGTGTTGACAATTTCTGGTATTTTATTCTAGTAATTTTATATTTTTTTAAAATAATTCGTTTTATATTGATTCAAGGAATTTTTTTTTACTTTCAGTATATAACTGATGCTTTTCAAATTAGGAAGATTTGTTAGTTTAAAAAAAATATTATTAAACAACCATTCGACAATTTCTGCATCAAAAATGTCAATAGGAGAATATTCTGGATTACCACTGGCCAATGTAGTATCTGTTCTTGAAAACTTTGCACCCAAGGAGCTTTCTGAAAGTTGGGATAACACTGGCTTACTAGTGGAGCCCTATTCTTCAAGGTATAATTATTTAAATATTTTTTATTTATTTCTTGTAATAGACTATGAAGGTTTTATTAATTTAGACTCTTAAATAAATATGAATTACATATTTTAGGCCTGTAACAAAAATTTTATTGACAAACGATTTGACTGAAGATGTGGCCATAGAAGCAGATAGTAAAGAATGTGAAATGATTATTTCCTATCATCCTCCAATATTTGCGCCTCTCAAATCTGTTATACAAAAGTAAGTAAAAATAGCCATTTTATAAATATAAGTAGTAGTTATGCTGTGTATCTTATTAAATTACTCTACATAATTGCATACAGACTTTATGGAATTTTAGTACATATTTAAATTAATTTAAGTCATAGTTTATCAACCTTTTTTTGCCCATAGCGCTTACTTTATTTTTATACAATTGAGAAATGGCTGCCAAAAAGTGGTAACCATCACCTATAGCCATGAACAGTACCATGGACATAATAAAATATACTGTGTCACTCATGATACCTTTCATACTTTACCATTCTGGAGGACTAAGGCTTTACCAATATATCATTTATATACAGGGTGGAATGGTTAGGTTGACCAAAACGAAAACAGCCCATTCAAATTAATGGTCTGAATAAGATGGCACATTGTTTTCCTAGTAACAGTTTACTAGGAAAACAATGTGTAACAGTTTCCTAGTAACAGTTCACAGTCAGTAAATTAACGATTCTTAGGTTTGACGCCGCGCAATGTATTGGAAATTTTACGATCCACACGACGCGAGATATCTACAACGCGCAGTTATACGTACTAACTGCCCAGTTTAGATATCGTTTTTACATACATTTTCTGATACTTATGGCGTTGACCTTACACAGCTAATTCTGCGCGTCTCAGTAGGATTTTAATATGTGTATTACATTGCTGGTTTTTTGTATTTCATAGTATTTCACTATAAATTATTATTGACATAATATTATAGATAATAAGATTTATTAAATATTTATTCATTTAAATGAAAAAAAAAAACCACAATAATGAAATTTTCGGGAAAGAGTTTCCACTGGCTTTCAGTTTAGAATAATGGTCTGAATTCAGTATTTTAGTTTTTTCCAACCTGTTGCTTACAGTGTGTATACGTCGTGGCGGCCTTTAATCGAGGCAACATTTTATATTACAACCATATTATCATGTATTTTAACTTAATATAAGTGTATGCTTTATTGGTTGCCCTTAAACAAATAAATATGTTTTTATCTAGAATTCCAATCTTAATTTTACTTACCATCTGCCTTTTTTAGTCTGATCACATCTCTGCGCCTTCTCAATGATAAATGATCTCATCTCCCACCCCCTAATTTTCCCTGGATCTTCTGCTGCCCGATCTTCTGAAAGCCTCATACGTCCATCAATGGGCGTATCGCCCACGTTAAGAACCTATGATCTAAATCATGATCTTGATTCTAGGTCTACTTTATTTTAATTAGGGCTGAAATCCTTCACCTAATTATGAGTTTATATTTGACTAAATTGTAAAGTGAAGCTTCAGAGGAAATTATATTTAAATAACTTTGAACTGCGCAATACACATAAATTGCATTGTAAGGCTATTACGTAAAAGTACAATATTATTTTTAGATCGTGGAAGGAACGTATTGTATCATTTTTACTGGAGAAACGGATATCACTATATTCACCTCATACGAGCTGGGATTGTGTTAAGGGGGGTGTGAATGATTGGTTAGCAAGTCCTTTTATAGCCACGGAGTCCAAACCGATCATAACAGGAGCTGACTCGTCTGTAGGTGCTGGAAGGTATGTGTTGGCATATCTTTTTAATTTAATAAGTTTACCACTTGTGCAAACAAGTTTTTACATACTTTCTAGATAACAGATTACTCTCTTGTTCAAGTGTTAGAAGTAATTTGTAGACAGAACCAAAATTGCCTATAGACTATACACTTCGTTTGGGTGGGACCTCTTCCCATTGTTAATAATGGAAACACTAGTCTCCATCGTCAGCAATACGAGTATATTCCATCAGGTAGCTCTCCCCCTCGGGGGGGGGGGGGGGTTGGTATATATTCGTGGTTACTTCCTATTGAATTCGCTACGATAGTGTGACGAATTCATTAACAATTTACCCCAATGGTTTCCAGGAGGGACTGTGTTGAGGTTCACCTGATAGATTATATCCATCCATTCCCTTTCCTCCACTAAATATTTTGTTTTCATTTTGAACAACTAAGAAAGTGTATAGACTTCCGGCGAACAGTTCATATCAGATTGTCTGGAGCAGACACACAAATTAGAAGTCCATAGTACATTGTCCGTGCAGATACGTTCGTCAAGTTTGACAGACAAGTGTGTCAGTCATGTGACTACGTACCTATTTTGTTGCCACAACCATACTTCTATATTAGTAGTAATAGATAAAAATAACTTATGTAAGCTATAGTTTAAAAATTATAATTTTCTTGAGCTAGTGCACAATGTAGTCATTGTGTTTTGTTCCTCTAATCGTATCTTATCGTAGGTATCCCTAGGACGGAAGAAAGGTGACGAACTGCATTCTTACCTGTCATTCTTTTTCTTGCTAGTTCTTACTATCCTCACTAATATTATAAATACGAAAGGTCCCTTGTGTTTATTTGTTGTCTCTTAGCGCCTTCATGACTTAACCAACCACTATGAAATTTGATATACATCTACGATATGGGATACAGCACGTTATGGACTACATTTTATCCCCATCATTGAACATATCTCGGTCACGGGAAATTAAAAATTAATGTGTTTATTTATCTATACTTATAATAAATCTGTAGAGAGGTCAATTCTGTACATGAAATATATTTCCAAAATAACTATCAGGGGGTGATTAGTGATCGATACTGATGCCAAAAATGCAATCAGTAAAATTTTTGTTTGTCTGTCTGTATGTTCGTTATAGAAACAAAAACTACTCGACAGATTTTAACGAAACTTGGTACATTTATTCTTCATACTCCTGGGCAGGTTATAGTATACTTTTCATCACGCTACGATCAATAGGAGCAGAACAGTAAAGGAAAATGTTAAAAATGCCCACCCGTGTGACGCCGGGGCGGGCCGCTAGTAATATATAAAGTTATTTTTCAGACTTTTAAAACTACAGTCTAGTATATCGCTTTCCGAAGCTATTTCAAAAGTGAAAGAAGTTACTGGTTTGCAGTACGTGCGTTTCGCTATAGGCAGACATAAAGTCCTATCTGATGAGGTGCAAACCATAGCACTTTGCGCTGGCTCGGGAAGTTCCGTTTTAAAGGGAGTAATTGCTGATCTTTATTTAACAGGTAAGAGATGCTACTTAATCTAGAAAATATAATATGTACATTGAATTTAATCGTGTAATTTTAAATAAAAACTGTTTTTGTTTAGTCATGCTGTCTGATACTTACATCTTTACAGACTGGCAAGTATAGAAAATCGACTATAGATTTTTTTATACAACTTAAAATGGCAAACAAGCTGCCGGCCCACCTGATGGAAAGTGGTAACCGTCGCTTATAGACATGAGTACCCCCCATGCGTTGCCTTTCCTGAGGACTCAGGTGTTATTTCTCCATACCCAGTAAATTCACGCCATATCCCACCGTTCAAACCGAAATACAGCCATGCTTAACGGTTGAAAGACGAATGGGACAGAGGTACCCAAGCAATCGACTTTTGTACATATCTGTCCCACGAACACGTTCCGGTATAAATATACTTAAATTTAGTAAAATGAATATTCTGAATTTGATATTCACTTAATATATTTATTTATCGTCTAATAGTTATCTAGGAAAAATTAAATGATTTGGTACTTTTATAAGCAGGTACTTTAGAAGTACATTTATGTTAATTTATACAAAACGATTGTCATTTGTTATAATTGAAATACCCCGTTTATTATTATTATTAAATATAGTCATTGATATATTAACATTTTTAGGTGAAATGCTCCACCATGATGTGCTTGATGCTGCTCAAAAAGGAATATCCGTGATTTTGACAAACCATTCGGATTCCGAAAGAGGTTTTCTTCGTATATTTTCATCAGATCTTCATAACAGATTGGATAAAAAGGTTCAAGTCATTGTTAGTAAATGCGATAAAGACCCCTTGGTAACAATGTAAAGTTTAAAATTAAAACTATCAAAAATAAAATTATAAGAATAGTTTTATTGTTCTTTTATTATTTGAGTTAGGTACGTATAAATATAGAGAATGTTACACTATTAAGAACAATGTATATTTATAATGTTTGGCTTTTATAAAATAATTCAATGTGAGATCATTGTTAACTATCCACACTAAACATATACAATGCATTGTACACAGTGACAAGGATTGTAATGAATACAAAGATTGATAATTCATAAATAAGACTAGTAACCTTATTATTACAATAGTTGGCAAGATCTTTGTATATGTGATTTTTTCTTCCATTTCCTATTGTCATGATTCAGTCCGTTTTGATTCCATTGTCGATCTGGAAGCTGCACTGAAATATGTTCATTTTTAATCATGTAATATTTAAATGCTTTTTGTTACAATGTTTATTAGCATGCATGCACACGACTTACTTACGCAGGGGAGTTTTGTCTAAAGTTTTACTTTTTGTCTTATGTTCTTTCGTAATTTCCTTGTGTTTTTCATTTGAAACTGACTTTTTTTTAGATGAGCTATGCCCTGATTTTACTTTACAAATTGAAGAGACAGTTCCTTTTTTATCGTCATAATTAATAACGTATTCGCTACGTTTGGGTGTTTTATAATTGCTTTTTTTAGAATTAATAATTTTGTCGGGGCTATTTCCTTCAGTATTATTTATTAGTTTTGCGTTATACTCGTTGGATGAAGCTCCTTCAGATTTGTAATTTACTTTAGATAATTCTTTATTGTTTTTATCTTGTGATGGTTGTCTGGGTCGATATTTTATGGTATCTTTTTTTGTTTCCTCGCTTATAACTTTAGCGTTTATTACTTTATGTGTCTTCTCAGGGTTATTTGTTTGATGCTGAGATTTTCGGCTTCGATTCAGTTGCCCCATTTTCTTTAACTCGGTAGACTCACTTTTGTATTCGTTTTCTCTTAATATTTTGTTAGAGTGGTTGTTATTACTGTTTTCGCAGTGATTATCTTTTTGATAATTAACTGAATGTTCAGGTGTGACAAGCTTTTTTGTTCGCCGTGGCTGATCTTTCTTGGTAGATAACATTTCTTGTTTTCTGCGTAAACTTTGATTTTCGGTTTCAGATCGATTCGATATATTTGACATTGATATGTCATTATTTTGACAACTTGTATCTAAATTTAAATCACCTGATTTCTGTTGATTTCTATCTGTAATATTTGTTTTTGATGTCACATGTCGACGTTCCAGTTTATCTTGCCGTAGTTCTGCATTTTGTATGATCTTATTTGACTCACCTTTCACTTTTATGTTAACGTAATGGGGTATTTCGTCTTCTGAAGTACTGTTTTTATACGTAGCTTTTTTCATCAGTGGCTCATTTCCCTTTTGTTCAATTCCTTTATTCTTTTTCAACCTAAAATGAAAAAAAAAAAAAATCAAAATAATATAAGTAGAACCACGATTAGATATTTTAATAATATACGGTTTACCATAATGTTAATAATTTTATAGAGGTTTTGATCCTATATGCTTATTGACCCTTTTATGACATGTGCGTCAAGTCCTACTAATCCTACTGTTATTATAAATGAGAAAATTTGTCACATGTATAGGTGTATGTTGATTATTTTTTCACGAGAAAGTACTGAATGGATTTGAATAAAATTGGTACACGAATATGTTATACTTTATATACTGACTCATGCGGGCAAACTTGCGTACCATAGACAACTAAATGTCTGTGATATCCATTGTCTTGTTTATATGTAACGGTTACCAATTTTCCTCGAGAGGGCCGTCAGCTTGTTTACCATTCTAAGGTAATAAATAAAATGTAGATACACATTTAATAACATACCTTGGTGGTGGAGAATCTTTCCTTGTGTTATGTGAGTAATGATCTTGTTTATTTCTTTGTAACGTTTCTTGTTTTTGAGATTTCGCTGGTTCTGAACGGCTTCTATTTTTTGCAGTGGTTAATTCCACCTGTTTTCTGATTTTTGACCGACAGTATTCATGCACAATTGAAGCATCAGACTTTTCTATTATGGGCTGTAGAACTGTCGTAGTTTCAATTTCTTTAGATTTATCGTATTTTGATCGTGGTCTTGGGGTAGGAATAGGAGCAAAGTTTGTTTTAAAGGGGATATTTTGGTATTCGACCATATCATCGGACTCAGCTTCGCTATTACATGCACTACTCGAGATTTGTTTTATTAATTTAACGGATTTGAATATATCGTTAATTTCATCAATTTGATTGCTCAATGGACTTTCTGTACATTTTGATTTGCTTTTATTTTTATCCTTATCTTCAATACCAAAGTATGTGAGATCACTGTCTCGAAGTTCTCTTGTTTTAGCTCTTTGAATAGGCGACATTTGCAACACGTGTAATTTATTTTTCATTAAACCACTTGAACTGCTATCAATTGATTCTCTTTTATGTACAGGTTCACTTGTCTCATATTCTGGAGTATTTTTTGTAATGGCAGAGCTATTGTATCTTGTTGAACCTAAAATATTAACAAACGAACTTATTGAGACTACCAGTTTTTATTGTATTTCTTTAAAAATCTATCAGTCATTAGTGTGTCATATAACGCCTTACTGTATTTTTTTATATAATTTACATTTACATTTTTTTTATATAATTGAGGTGGCAAACAAACAAACAGCCCATCTGATAGTAATCGGTTACCGTAATCTATGAACGCCTCCAATATCAAGGGCATCACATGCGTGTTGCCGACCCTGAAGAAACCTTTTTATTTTTTTTAAGAACCCCGTGCTGTAGTCTCTTAGAAAAACTTCGACAGGGATTTTTTTCCATAACCAGAGCGTTCGTGGGAGAAAATATTTCTGAAACCATCTGAATCTAGGCTCTAAGATATGGGGCGAATTTCCTATTAAAGGCAAGCTGTACGATGGTAGAAGGTGGCTGTGGTTATCATATTGAACAATTCCTCTGAGCATATTCAGTTGTACAATACGTACAAACAAACATATATAAAAAAATAAAATGTCGTTAATCTTCCATATTTAGGTATGAGTTACTCCCCATAAGAGAAGAATATAGTGTACTATTACCACACTGACCGGGCAACTCGGCATATAAATTCTAAATAAAAAATAATAATAATTTTACATACCTTTATTTGTAGTTCTAAAAGAATTACTTGCATAGCTCGAATTAACTTCACGAGAAAAACCTGTGGTTGTCTTATTATTATATATATTTTCTGTTTGCAACTGTTTATTTATTAACAGAACACCCGTGGGAACACTTACATTATTACTTATTCTATCTTCATTTGTAAGATTCTCCGTGTTCCCAAGTGCCATGTTCTCTCCTAAGAGATATGGTTTGGGTTTGGGAATTTTGTTTTTGAGAATACTTTTTGTAGCTGCTGTATTCTCATTTTCGTCAAATTCACCGATCTCACTATTATTGTATATCGAAAAATCGGGTTTTATAGGTTGTAGAAAATCAGCCCTTTCTCCAAAAAGTGTAATAGGCTTTTCAAATGTACCTTTAATTGGCACAAACGCGCTTCTCCTTTTACGAAAATCATTGGAAGGTGGAGGTTTTTCATCTGTAGCTATTATATTTACTTTGCCTGATTCAGCAGCAAAATGTAATTCGGTTTTACAAAACTCCACCCTTTTTACTTTTCTTTCACCTTCGTCATTACTCCATACTTTTTTATTATCTTCTCCTTCAATAGTTATAGGTACTGTTATTGATACCTTTCCAGAGGATTGTAATATAATATTGTTTTCCACATTATTATCCATCACAATGTCGTTTTCTTTGCATGGTTTTAATTGTGTACCTTTATAAAACATACTTGGTCTATTTTTGGAAAGCCAATCTTTAAAAGTTTCATCGTGATTATTTTGTTTTTTATCTTTCCTTTCCATATACGTGGAATAAGCATTGATGTCATCTGCGTGGTCGTTAACTCTTTCCGATGATTTACAAATACCGCTATCTGTCGAAGATTCCATTGCTAACGTATCATTTTCATGCAAGATTGTTTCATTTAGTGGACAAGTGTCTTCAAAACTGTAACTCTTTCTTCTATTATTCCAGTCATTACTCCCATTTAAAAGAGATTTATATTTGAGAGTACTTAATGTTACTGGAGGATCTAACAGCGGCGATGCTCGGCAACTACTTCTTTTGTTGTATTGAATATCACTGCTCTCTGAGTCATAAGAGTATTTTCTGTTAATATTTTTTTGTGACGATTGAAAATCAAGATCTATTATACTGGCATTGTCTGCTGATGAAGATTCTTCACTTGGTAACCGTATTGAGCTTCCGCTAGCTGCTGCTTTCCACTTTGAAGGTTCTGATATTTCTGAATCATCAGGTTCTGTAACTTTATAATTTTCAGTTTCTATGTTTGGATCGGCTGACATTTCTAGTGGCGTCGATGATATCTCTAAAGGTTTAGTAGGCATTGTAGGAAATGATGGTGAATCTAAGAAGTTAAAATCGGAAGATAGTACCTGAAATTTTTTAAATAATATAAATTAAAATGTAATTCTTATAAATTATTGTAAATGATTAGGTATCTAATAATAATAAATATGAGTATACTAATACGCTTATTAGGAAAAATTGCTTCAAAGTTTAAGAATACAATGCTTAAAATTATACACTAATAAATACTAAATACACTGTGATTTCTAACAGGATAGTCAGACATTTGCAGACTGTTGCGGTATGATAAACGTTATTTAGATTAGGAGGAAATAGAAAAAATCACAATCTTACCCTCCGAGAGGAGTGAAGCATGTAGGAGGAGGCTGGCACGCCTGGCCCCGCGGAGGAGTGGTAGGCGGCGCGCATGACACGAACGTGGGCGCCCGGTCCGTTCGCCTGCAGGACCTCCATTGCTCGAGCTATTCTCCGTGTCACGCCACCTTCTGTCACCTGTAATTTAAATGATTATTTCGTTACTATTTGTTTTCCTAATTTCATTTAAAACAAAATGTTCATAAATCCTATTGAAAGATTATATTACATCGGAAGATAAATGTTTTTGGTTCACTACTTTACTTGATCATTTTATTTAGGTACACAAAATTTAGTTCTCCATAATTTCTAATTTTTTTTTTATTATCATCATTAATCAATCGTTGTAGAATTGGATAGTTATAATCCATGAAGATTTTCCCACAGAAAAAATGGTACCAATTTACCTAAGTAACTTATTTTGAACAATCTCGGCAACTGTGTCATTTTGCCGTACTAAGCCGTCAACTTCACTGTAACTGTTCATTCTAATAATGACAACCTAGAAACATCAGTCAAATATTTGACAAATACATATACAAATTCTAAGTTTGTTTTTTTTTTTGCAAAAGGTGCGTTAGGTACTTATGTAAGTGCTTACATCGTAAAATGATTTATTCATGGTGGGGAGCTTTTGGTCATAGTAAACTGTTATTATAACTGTCAGCCGTGTGGCTAGTACTCTGGTAGGTGTATTTTAGCACTAATATGTAGTTAAAATGCTGTACGCATTTTAACTGCATATGATAATGTCCATATGATGTAAGTAGTACCTAGTTTGTGACTCGCCTGAATAAATACCTGGCTTTAGACCTAACAATTACACAATGCTATTTAATTCCAAATTAAGCAAAACTTTTAATCTAAATTTTCATCTAAATAAAAGGTATTCAATTTATGTTTTTTTATTTATATTTCTGTATTTTATGTTCCCAAAATATCTACGATTATATTTAGGAAATATGAAGTCATTTTCTGAAGGTCTAAATGTTATTTAATGTTTCTAAAACGGATTTGCAAAGTAAATGTAGTTACATGAATTATCCGATTAAAATTATATTATGCGTAATACTTAAGCATGTAAATACATATCTCCACCAGTCGCGGCCTTCGTTTGCTATTGTATTTATTTGTTGCAGTGACGTGATCGTCTATGTGGGGGCGAAATGAAATTGCAATGTTGAGATTGTGATCTTTCCAATGAACGTCTCACTTTAGTGGTTTCGAGTAGGTGGGGAACGTATATCATTGTTGATATTTATATCATATTGATAGATTTCTATTGAGTAGTTTTTAAAGGTCTACTATAAAGTGTACAAAGACAATAGTCTGCGACTGTAATGAAAAAAGCGAATAGAATCATGTTAACCGTATTCATAGATATCTACATAATCCTTAGTTGTTATCGCCAACAAATAATAGGTATCTGTCTAACCTTCCAAATAAACCGACTTTCCATAAATGGATTCTGGCATACATTAACAAACGAATAGAAAATTAGTTTAGCTAAATAGGTATATTTTTTTATTTATATAATTAGGTAACTAAATAATTATAAGTGGGATAATATTGAAGCAAAAAGAAAAATAGATATGATTATAGGCACTGCCTTTTGGTTTTGTCGACTTATTTATCGGTGGATACTTATATCTTTTTAGTTGATGTTGCTAGAATGATTTATTCTGTGTACATTTTTTTAGTAAAATATTATTTATTGGTACGGTGTAAAATGTTTATTATTGTTAATGCCAACAGCCTTTTACCAACTTTAATATTGGATCAAGGTGAGTTATTTCAGTATATAAATGACGTCATCCATATTATCGAACGCCGACCAAGACCAAAAGTAAGGTCACTACCGCAACCCACTACTTGCTGATCTTACTTCAGCAGCGATGATAACCAAGTAAAATGCTTGGTGTCGGAGACCAGTGATAATGTAGACGTCCCGATCTTTCTCATGAATGCGTCTTATATATCTATTCTTAGTGTATTTTTTTTTCACATTACTGTCAATTGATATGTCTGTGTACTTAAGAAAAATTGATCTTACCTAATCATTTTAGTAAATATGTATTAACATTTATAAATTTGTTATGGATTATACGTTATTCAATTGAGTGGGGGGCCTATGACGTAGCGAATGCGGTCGTCGACACTAACGTACCTAACCTTCGAGAGCGACCGCACCATACCTACTGATTTTTCATTAGAAACTCCACGGGAAAATACTAATTAGATGCCTACACACGGCGATAAAATTATATTAGTCATCAAAGCATTTAGTAGACCTTCTACGTTGTCAGTAACATATATCACTTATCTATTTATGTTTAGGTTAGGCATTACAGATAAAACTAAGTACCTACCTAAGTAACAAATTAATACACGACACACTACGGTTACTTACTTTGTATTATTTCTGCTAAGAATTTTTTAGTCTAGTCATATCTTTAAAGTTTACAAGTGAATACCTATGATTGACAAGGTATACTATTAAATTTTAATTTGTTTTTTTTTCATGTAAAATAATTCAGTTGATGATATTGAACCATGCAATCGTCAAAATATTCTCCTCCTTCCTCTTCGGCTATTCGTCTCCGTTGACGCCAAGAGTACGTTATACGACTATGATTGAAATCGTCACATATATGTAGCATAGACTTATGTTAACCGTGGAACTATGAGTTTGTACGTAACGGTTATCTATTCCCACCCATTGTCATTCAAACATCATTACTTTATTATCATTATGATTGATCATTTACGTGCTTTAGTACTGTATCTATTACGCACCTATTTACAATCTTATTTAAAACATTTTACATAAGTATCTATACTCTATAATAGATTAGGGTCAACAAAATTCTTGTTTTTTTCTTTCTTTCTATTTCCACTATGTTTAGTACTCGCAAATTGCTCATATTATATGTTGTAAGTATATCATTATTTCGGCTTCCAAACCATTATCTGCTAGATACCCTTTTTCTATCAAAATTAAGGTTACACTTACGTATGTTCATTCTTTTATCTCTCGTTAGGAATGAATATGATTCATCTTTTTTTATGCAATTATGTTTCATATTTATGCCCAATTTATCCTTTTCAAATTTTTCTATAATCATATCATCAAGATAATTTTGAAACACGATGGAATTAGGTACTTATTTTGGAATAAGTATTAGACTTAAAATGTTAGTATTCAACATTTATAATTTCAGATCAATACACTAATTAATATTTTAAAAAAGAAGAGTCTTAAACAGACTGGCATACACAGAGACGGGCAATAAAGTAATATTACAAACATACGCGCAATATTTAATTCAGTAATAAAATTTTTATTTACGTCAATTGATTAACTGTATTTTATTAAAGTAAGCTCAATAGTACTTAACGAAGAAGGAAGTAATAAGGATAAAAGATCGATAATATAGATGACTCATTACTGTAGGATATTACGATGAGTTTCTTATCGCAGAATGATAAAATTTCTTGTAAACTTGTGATAAATGATTCCTAATCATAGTTTCCCCTCAGCATTTGATTAATATTAATTTATTAATCATAAAGCTGACTTACATAAATATAATTAATTTTTAAGCGTATATTACCTATAAATATAGATGGATTCTTTGTTACCTTTGATTTCTAAGACATATAAGTAATACTATACTTATAGTAATTTCAAAATAATCGTCTTCGAAATGAATGATACGTGTTCTAACGTTTCAAAGTAGGTGATGTAAATACCATTATCTCTCTTCGTATTAAGTAAGCAGATGAGCAGTTGTCACAGTTACCTATAGGTACCTACTTATTGTGTAAGCGATGTGAAATTAAGATTTCGTTACGATATGAAATTAAAATTTGAAACAATAGCGTAATGGCAATCGTACAATGAGTATCAGTTGATTTCAAAGAGAGGTTTGTTTTCAAAAAAAGTTCGGCAAGTATATACTCACAATTTTTTTTTTTATAAAAGTATGAAGTTAGAAGGTGTAGGGAGAAATAATAAGAAGACAAGTCAGATGGTTTATCTTAGCAAATGCAAGAGTTTTTTTTATGTAATGATTACTGTAGTTAATTTCTCTCGAAAAAACCTCCAAAGGGTGCTTTAATAACTTCCTCTCAAACTGAAGGTTCTGATCACAGGTCTACGTAACGTATCATAGAATAGATAGTTTAATAATAGTCGTTGTAGTTTAAACAATACCTTTAAACTTTGAATAAAAAATTGTTCAAATGAAATATGGAACTAGGTATTAGATTTGTGTCATAGAAAGTTATTTATGTAGTTATAAGATAGGTAGTGTGTCACAATATTTATTTAGCACTATTATAAACACCTACGCAATCAATCTGGATAGAGAGTCTATTATCTTCGAAACCACGCTCCAATATAAAATTTATTTCATATTTTATTTATTACCTTAGTTGCTAAATAGTAATTGTACCTTAACCTATTTTAATTCTTTTCACTGGACGACTTGGCAAGTGTGATAGTACATCATTAAAAGTTTTAATTATATTAAGAGAGAAGTTTGGAATTAAAACCAATCTAATAATCGTAACTAGTATTATATCATCATTATTTTGTTGAGTAGGTATAGGAAACTTCAATAAATTTGTTTTGTAGTGTTTAGGCTTATTATTTGCAGTCTATTATACCATGCGTAATAAGTATTATATATTATGCGTGACCATGCTATAACGGACGAAGTAAAATAATACTTAATGCTTTTATGTTGTTTAAAATTCTTGACTGTACATCAAATAACAAGAAATTTAATATGCGGAAGAAGTGTAATTGTACAAGTACGTAATTAATTTTTATACTATTGGTCAATAGATATTAGGATATCGCTTCTAATAGTATAAGGAGCAGCAAATTAGAGAAATGGTAATCACGATACGTTGCGCAATTAACAAAGAATATTGCAAACAGTGAAAAAAATGTTAGAACATCAATTATGACTCATTAGTTCAATAAACTTTTTGCCATGAATTTAAATGGATTAAATATAGTACTGGGTATCATTGTATTACCTACTTTATGGTAATTCGTTGGTATTTATATCTATATTATAAACAGTTACACCTACGTGTACAAGTTACAATACCATTGTTTATTAATT